TATGGAGTTTTGGATTCCTTGTTGATCATCGGCGATGCATGTACCACAGCAGCGTCCTGTTAGTACTGCAGTCTGCTGCCAGTGGAGGAGGGTGTGGATTTGTACAAGTTTGACACACGCCCTCCCCCTCCCTGTTGCAACATGTCTGCAACATCACCTCACCAGGTTTGTTTGTGTTGCTTGCGTGAGAACCTTGGAAAACAAAACACCACGTATCCATCCGGATGATTGGCCATGTCAAGCGCGGCACTCGTTTGCCCTGATGACTCAAACCCCTGCTCGTTGCCAGATTTTCCTGATACAGCCACCGGCGGATGGTGACGATCCCTCGTCACATCGTCGGTAGTGTCTCTCAGAGTGTATTGTGTGGGTACGGCTGGCTGTTGTAATTGGCCGGTTAGCCTGTAATTGGCACTCCCTCCTTCTGGTGTGCTAGAATATAGGGCCCCAGGAACTTCTTGGAATAGACGGCGGCCCTGCATGCGGCCATCCATCCATTCATCCCACCTGTGACAGGAGAGAGGGTCTCATCAGGAGCCTCTGCCAATCACAGATCGATGGCACTCATCCTGCCAGCTCTCACGAAGGGAGAGCCTATTGGAGCCCTCCCCCGTCCTATCGATGCCGGCAACCCGAAGCAGAGGCTGCGAGGGAGAAGAAAAGAGGTGACGTGTCGATGGCCTCGGAGTATAGAGAGAGCCAGATAGTGTCGAGCACAGCTTGACGGCTTCGACTGTCTGACTGAACTGCCTGAGCGATATAAACATCGGCATCTCTAAGAGCGCCAGGCCGATGGTCCACGTATGTCGAGCCAGGACACGCCGACGAGCTTCCTTTTTCCCTCGTGAGGCGTCGTGGGGCAGCCAGGAACAAGCTTCTGCTGCAGGACGCTGGGGAGAGCAGCTCGGAGGGCCGCAGCACCTTCTCCATAGGAAAGAGAGAGAGAGATGGGGAGACAAGGCCTGCACCTGCGTGCGATCCTGCAATGCAGCAGCAGTGCAGCAGTGCATTTCCTTCTGCTGCTACTCTGCTAGAGGTGGCTTGGCGCGAAGCAACCCTGGACAGTAAACTGCAAGTACCCAAATCCCGACGGTGCGTCTCTGCTCCGCCGCTGGGGGCGGGGCCACCATGAGTGGGTGTGAAAGGAAGACAGTTGAGTGCAAAATGCAGGTCGGATCCTCCCTAGGCGCATTAGCGAAGCACCGACCTCTTTCACATTGGTCCACCTCCCTCCCTCCTTCCCTCCTTCTGCCATCCTTACCCAGACAGCCAACCAGGCCAACCCCAGCTGCTGCCAGCCTGCCCTGGTGGTGTTGCGTTTGCCCCTCGTTTTTCTTGCGTCGAGCTGCATCGAACTTGCCTGCAGGTTTTTCGCAAAGCAGTTTAGCGCATCGATACTCGCCCGCGATGATTGCAACCGTCTTGCCTCATCCTGCCTTCTTGACCCTGCTAGTCTGCCTGCCTGTCCTTGTCTTGGGGGTCACAACACACAACAATTAACAGTTTATCTGGGGAGGGTGGGCGGGGTAGGCAGACTAGGGAGATAGCGCCACAGCGTCTCTCTGAGAGGAGGACAGCAAGGGGACGACTCTCCACCTTTCCCACGCAACACATTACCACATTTCACACGCACGCACGCACACCCCACCACCCTCTCCCGCTTTAGCTGCGTCGTACTAGTCGCTCTCCCTTGGGCGGCTGGACAGACGAGTGGGGTCACCAGGGCACCATTCTCCATGGTCCAATACCGCCCTGCTGTTTCGTGGCTTTCCTGCATGTGCCCTGCCTGAGAGACGCTGTGTGCGTGTGGTGTGGCATGCCTCGTATGGAACTTCAGTAGAGAGGTTTGGGGGCATCACCAGCCTACTGGCCTGCTGATAGGACAAACCATGGTCGGAAGCAGGAGGTGTGGCGATAGAAGGAGAGGGAAAGACTGGGGGTGTTTCGAGGTTGGCCCTTGAGAAACTGCACGAGGTGAGGCTGAACTTGCCATGCTTTTCTTACGTATGATCGAATGACGGCTACGACAGTTGCCCTGCCTTGGAACATGGTCATCACAAAGAGGCGAAAAGGGAAGAAGAAAAAGACCCTTTAAAGGGCGTTGAGCGACGATCCTGCAACCCCGCGTCTGCTTGATGTCGTCGTGGGCTGACGATGGCGTAGCATCTGGTAAGAGTGTTGACGTCGGGTTCGATGGTCAACCGTTGGGGAGGGTGTGGGTTGCGATGATGAAAGGGGCGATCCAGCCAAGAGGGCAACAGTCGCAACAGCGGCAGGACTCGAACGATGTTGTCCTACCACACAATACAGAAATATCCTCCCCCCCCCCCCTCCATCATTCGCTGATCCGTTACCGCGATGGCACGTTGTGTGGAATCGCCTGCATTACCCTTTTTCCCGTCGCCAGTAGGATTAGTTGCATGAAAGAACCTGGTGCTGGATAGCCAAGCTACACATGCATACGCACACTATGGCACACCACTAGGCATTACTGAACCGGGAACATCGAGTTTGGATCGTGTGGTTCTCTCCATCCTTGGCCTTGGCTTCAAGGAGTGGGACATCGAACGAATTGCATCAGGTTGTCCTCTTATCTCGCGAGAATGAGAAGAGTGAACCACACACACCTCCCGCACCACCAGGAAAAGCCGAGGTCCTGTTGATGGTGGTTGTTCGTTCACGACTGATCGTCGTCTTGCGTTATCTTTTGGTGTCGAATAAGGGTTTCATGGATGGATACTTTGCAGATAGACTTCTCACCTAGCCCACATTTTAGTTTGCTGTCATCGATCCGAATCCAGTATCATCCTCAGTCTCAGGCACGCCATCGCACCAGGCGACGTCGCCAGCCAAGGACGGGGGAAGGAGAAACCAAGAAAAATGAAAAGACACTTTGACTTTTAGGCGCCCATATGCGGGGAGGCTAGATAGTTCATCTACAGGAGGAATGTGTTTTTCCCTTGTCCCTAAACATCAAATCTGTGCAGCAGCAGAAAGGAGGCGAACCATGGGTACGGGAGCGAACCCTTCGCGAGATGATCCAAGTCCACTCCCAAGGTAACGTCAAGTTCTCGATCATCTTCCCCTGACATTTTCTGAAGATGGAAATGGATCGCGGCCCCGGCGCGGACCGGAACCTAGAAAGACCCTCAATCTCAAAAAGACCCAAGTTTCCAAATAAACCCACGGGAGGGCACGGGCTGGCCACCGTGGAAGCTCTCCGTTACGTAGATTTGCGCTCTTGAGGACGGAAACATCCTGAAATTGCGGGTGTTCACGGGAAACCAGAGGGGAGACAATAGCAGCGGGCAGATGATGAGTCGACTCACCGAAAAACCGCATGACATTAGACAAAGTTCGCGAAATTGGCAGCCTAGCAGTTTCTCAGAGGAACTGGTTCCTGGGCTAGGCACATTCCGTTCAGTTCCAAGGTGAATTTTCAGCTGCAATGCGCTATCAAGCGATGCTGTTCAGGCGAGACGTGAAGTTTAGCCCTCGACCACCAGACACTTTTTGTCTTTGACCAGCTTCAGGGACTTGCCACTAATGCAGGTCTGGGTAGTTCACATGCACCTTTTCTGTGATATTTTTGTTTTCGGTGAGAAGAACCAGGAGTGAACTTTTATCTCTTTCCTTTTGTTTCCACTCCTGCTATCCAGGAAGAGATGTTCACCACGACAGCTTGGTTGCTTGGTTTGTTTCGAGGTGTTGAAGAGGCACCTACTTGCCTAAGGGGAGGGTTGAAGCAACGAAACGAACAGCATCCTACATACTAGGTATGCACACACACATTATGTACAGCAGATCAATATAAAAGCAGCGATCTTTGGGTGAAACAGACCTTTTGTTGATCAATGTTTTTTCGTCTCTCTGAACCAGCATTCCTGTTAACAAAATGTGACTGTCAACAAAAGTCACATGCATCAACCCCAACAGCCAAATTCAGCAGTTTTGTCTTTTGCTCTAGGAGTTTGGTGGTCAGTCAAGCTTGGTTAGCAGTCCATCGCCCAGCTGATCACAGCAACTAGACACCGGATGACAACGTCTACAGGTTGCATGTCCTCTGAATAGAGAAGGCTAGACACCCACCAAAAGGCCAACCGATCCATCCATCATCATCTTAGGGGGTCCAACCAGGCCAGTGCAGTCAGGCCACCACCAAACCAGGAACAGGAACGAGAACGAAACTGTGTAGCAGCAGCAGCAGCCAGGGCGACTGAAGCCGGACCAAATAGACGGCCTGAGGTGACCACCAGCTCCGAGATCAGCCAACAATAAGGCCAGACACACATGCCACTGTGTCGAAATTTTCACCTTGAATGGTGTCGACTACCAGCTGCAGGCCCGTGTGTACCTGACCTTGCCGTGCCAGAGCTGCTCCAAGGTCCTCAGGCGCGGATAGCTCCACCCCTACCCATGACCTCCACCTCTGGAGAGCTCTCCACTTATACGTACTGCTGTACTATGGTACACCCTCTTGCTGTGAACACACCCCGTAGCCTTGTGGACTCTTTGCTAGGTACTACTCCAGTCTTGTCACGCCCCCAAAGCATGGTATTTTACACAGGGGGGGTGTGGATGAGGTTCGTGTTAGACCCCCCCCCCTATATCATGCATAGTGACCTTGGCAATGCTTGGGGCTTGTCATCTTGTGAAAGCAGGCCTGGCGGCCAGGGTGGCAAGGAAAACTTTAGCCCACTAGGACTGGGTGGGGGGGGCCTGGTGCGTGAGAGGTGTGAGTCTTCCTGTTGAAAAACTTTTCAGAGACACCCACCCTCTGTTCTAGGAAATCTTGTTAAATCACACGCCCCCCCGGCTGTATCCCCTGTCCTTGTTCTGACCAGGGTGCTCTGCTGCTGCCCATGCTAGAACAAATAAGGAATAGCGGGTTCTACAAGAGCAAGGCCACCCCGGTTGTGTGCTCGATGCCTTGAGGGCGGCTTGCTCTACCTATGTTGCTCTCTTTTGATACAAATGCTCCTCCTACCCATTCTCAACTCCTCACTTCCACCACAGCATCTGCTGGATATAATCACTCCGCTTTCGATTCTACCACGAACACTTGTGTTGGTGCCTTACTATACTTTTAAATTCTCCCCCCTCTCAAGCAACCAACAGAGACTTCCCTTCTAACCCTCGCTCACCCTCCCAACTGTCCAACGTCCTCGTCGTCTACGCTCGACCGGTACTCCTCCAACCTTCTCATACTTCCAACTCGGCCAAGGTCACTTCGACACACACACACAAATACCACACATATATATACACACTCGCCTCTCAAGAAGACTCCAGTATCAAGCGAATGACCCAATAGAAAAGGGAGCCTCTTGGCCAGATACGAACCGTCCACTTCACCACCAACAACATCCCCCTCAAGATGTCTTTCGACTGGGACCACTCCTACTGCCTCAACTGCGACAAGCAGACTGATGGCACAACCTACTGTTCCGAGTCCTGCAGGCTAGCGGAATACGAGCAGTCTGCTGCTCCCAGCACCGGCCCAAGCTCGCCTGCCTTCAGCGGCCCCAATTATCCTTGGACCACTGCGAGGGCGTCGCCATCCGCCAGCAGGTTCTACCTGTCACCAGCATACGACTTCAGCCAGTCGACCTCCCACCCGTCCTCGCAGCGCCGCGGCTCTCTCGCTCCAGCACAGCGACTCCTGTCGCCCTCGAGCTCGCAGGCCAGCCTGTGCTCCATGAGGAGCAGCTCGTCAGCCAGCAGCGACGCTGCCATGCAGCTGTCGGACGCCGCCAGAAGGGAGCTGCACGCCTACGCGAGCTCCTTCGAGAACGCCCGGGCATCACGCAGGCAGTCTCACTGAATGGTTACGACGATGACTCCTTTTCTCAGTTTCCAAAGTGGATTCGCTTTTTTTGCTTTTGCCAGTAGTGCCAAGCTGCTGGCACAACCTCGTTTCCTTGATACCCTTCCCCCCTACCTCACCTGAATACACACTTCTTCGGCGCTTGAGATACCACATCGGGACCGCACATCGCATGATATTACCGCTTTCGTCATATCTTTTCTCTTCGGGCCACCAAGCCTTTCTCCTTCACCTTTATCACTTCGGATCATCGGCGGGTACTACTAGTCATTTCTGTTGTACCATACACAACACACACAAAAAAAGCATCAGTCGGAGCAAAGCATCATTAAAAAGTTTGGGACCTTACACACGGATCAGGGACAGGACATTTGATTTTAGGGCCTCGGGAGACAGGAGAACTTTGGGCGTCAACAAAGGACTTGAGAACAACTTGACTCATCAGGACGGGTTTTCTTTTTCTCTGTCTGGTTCCAAGGGTGGTGTCCCACACATGGACATTTGAATTTTTTGGGTTTGGAACATGGGCGAACAGCGCGGCAGTGCCCATGATCGATCGTGATCCAAGATGGGATTTCGTCACGACGGTGTCTATGACTGATGCCTGGGTATCCACAGCATAGTGGATAGGCTACACCTGGGTGGGGTGGTTTGATGTGGTTCATCATGAAGCACTATTATTTCACAGGGCTGAGGGAAGAGCCGAGATCGGGAGGGATACTGGGCTGGAAGAGCCTCTCATGAAGACCGAAGGACACTGTCAGACAGACATGGACCTTACACATACAAACAATGTGGATAGCATATTCACACGCGTCCTCGTTGTCTCGAGGAGAAAGAGGAAGAAGAAAAAAGCGAGAACAGTTTCACACCTCTCCACTATCGTTCCCTGATGCTCTGATCCTTGCATTGCAATTATAACTGTGACCACCGTACGACATTCAATTCACACACCACACACCGAACAGGCTCACTGGAATGCTATTGTTACTGGTAATGCTCCGTGTCTACCCGCAATTCCTACAAGTCATCTAACAGAAAGGCTACTTTGGCGAAGAACAGGAAGGACACGTGGGGCTTTGAGGAATGATGACTCACTTCAACGGTGTTTGTGTTTCGTGACTTCCTCTTTTTTTTCTTCTCTCACACGCTCAACATGACAAAACAGGTGGAGGAGGAGGACCCGCAATTGACGACGTCACTGGTCTCATAACACACACCCCCCCCCCGGTCTCTCTCTATGGCGTTCCGTGTGTTGCTACTGTCTTCATTTGTTTATTTTTATTTTATTTTTTGGCTGCACGCGCAGAACCTCGGGTCTTCTACTTTCTAGCAACACACAACCCTCTCGTTTAGTCTTGTCCCTGAACTGGATTCCATTCGCTTCGACACGGAACGTTTCGGAAACCTTGCGAGAGTTCCCCCCATGTTCCTGTTTCTTTGTATCGCGTGGTCTACTCTAGGGTCATCAAACCCTTCGGGAATGGACTTTGTTGGACTTGGTTCGGGTCACGGTCAACCTCCCCTAGCCTGGGCCGAACGTGTTGTGTGCACAACAAAGAATCGAGACGGAGCAGAATACTCACTCTCTCGCACTCGGGAGGGAGCGAGAGCGACGGGATGGCAAGGCATTAGAGCGGGCGGCTCAAGAAACTAAAGCTGCTGGACCATCGCCGGGTCCCAAGCGCCTGGATGAACAACGGCCTATCACTCCTTGGTCCCCTTTCTTTCTGTGTCTGTCTCTTTCCACTAGGGATGCCGGTCCTTCATTGAGAAAGAGGCAAACAGCGCACAGACGGGGTTCGACCAAGCCTCACTCAACCATACCGTAATCATCTCAAGTGTTGGTTGTCGGTCCCGGTCGCATCTTGCTCGTCCGGCCCCCTACGGGAAAGGGCTAAAGGGGACCCGGACTTGATCCCTGAGAAGAAAAAGAGAATACGAAAACAAGGTCCCTATATGGGGCTCACCAAGCCGGCGACGTTGAGACGGGATCTACTCCAGCCCGTTCCTCACACTAATACTTTAAAATAGTGCGCAACTCTTCGAGCCAACGTGCTTAGCACACGCAGAACATATGTTGGAGAGTTTTAAGTTCTCGTGCTAGGCCCACGTTCACCGGTAAGGCGATGTTGAACAGCTGACCAATGCATAGAGCACGTTGAGAAGGGAGGGGGGCTTGGACTCTCGGCGCCCCCCCCCCCCAGATTTACTCTGAGCTGTGATGGTGAGGGTTAGCTTTTCCTCTATCTGTCGCACTGGCGCGAGAGACTGTGCATGGTTGTTCAACCTCCTATTACCAGGTAGTGCTGTGCTGGAAGACTATCTTACAACATACGACAAAGGGCGTCACTACAGGGACAGGCAGTGAGGCATTATTCTCATAGAGCACTGCATGTACGAACCAGGGCCTGGGGAACAACTACAACGTTCAGCCCGCCTGCTCACCCGTCCCGAACAGGATCAGATGGGCCGTCTGCTCTCGGGATCTTCGATCTCGACCAGACTGTGATGTAACCGCACGCAACACATATACACACAGCCCACAAACATGGGAAATTCTATCAGCTTCCAGGAATCTACGCCGTCTCAGGCAAGGTTTGGTTCTTCTTTCTCTCCTCCCCCTGGCCGCCAAGCTAAAGGGGACCCTCGAAATCTGGAAGGATCATTACGTACCAGCGGCCAGCCTCACTGGCTACACCTGAACGGTTCCGTACCACCAAGGGTGGTGAGATGATTGCGCCATTGCAAAATCTGAGACAAGCAAGGGCTTTTCAAAAGAAAAGAAAGGGCGTCCGGTCAACAGGCTAAAAGTCTTAATAACAAGCCACGATCTTTTAGGGGTGCATCGCGTGTGGAGGGGGGTTATGAGATCGACATTGCGGTCTTCAAACAAAGGTCAATGGATGAGACCTTTCTCTTTCTTTGGCTGCGGTACTTTCTCCTTACCCTCTTTTATTTTCCCCTTCCGTGCCAGGCGTGTCCGGGACAATCAATAGAGTTTAGGGTCCCCTTACCTTTTTTAGCGAGCAAAATAGACTCGGTCTAGGTCATGGAGGTAAGGGTTTTGGTTTGGTCGATCAGTGCGGGAGTATCCTCTGTTCGTCGTGCAGATCGGCCTGGCCTATATGTGCCACGGCCGATATGGGCTTGCCTCTTGCTGGTTGCCCTGCTGTTTCTTTTTTTCCTTTGGATTACAATTACTCTCTCTTTCTCAACGCAAGAAGAAAAGGAAAAGGAAAGAAGGAGGAGCGTGTCTGTATGGCATGCCCTGTGTGCCTTCTCGGCCCTGTTTCATCTGAGGTGATGAGAGAGAGAGAGAGAGAGAGAAGGAAAGGGCTTGCCAGTTTGCTCTCAAAGAAGCTTGGATCTCGGGGAAAATCCCTACCTTGGGGCACCACCCTCGCTCTCTCTTTCTCGTTCCAGAACAGAGCAAGCGAGCAACATTCAGCTTTTCACCGGACTCGTGTGGTTTCACAGCCAGACCACCCACTGCTCACACAGCCCCAGCTCAACCCCGGTTCGGCAGGGCTAAACAAGGCAGGGACTATCCCATCTCGCATTCCTGTGTGTGTTATGTGTCTGTCTTGTGTTTTTCGCCCGGGCAGCTCGGCAACGGAGCCAAAGAAGATGCCACAGACAAGGCGCACCCTGCACTACCGCATCGACTCCCTAGGCGACCTTTTTGCTGGCGTCGAATGCAAGCAGGTCCCGCGCTATCACGCCTAGTAGGGCAACGACAGCCAGAGATGTTAGTTTCAGGACACGGGACGAAGACGAGACGGGGGCCTTGTTTCCTTTGTTGTTGGCAGGCCCTGGTCAGAAACTAGCCAAAGGTCGGGACGGATGCGATCGATCTCTCAATCCTTCGCAGCATGTCATCTGGCTCTTTCCCCAGCACGCAAAGTACTTCCATCATCACGTAAAACTGTGTATATTACGTAAGCAGTGAATCTGCACTGAACTGCTAGTATAGTACAATAAGCGAAGTCCTCAGTCAATGATGCCATGTTACAAACTGTATGTCTATGCTCTCTCTCTCTACAGTGCGCACAACATTGGTCACATCCAGACTGTTGCCGACGTCTCTCCTGTAATAGCCCAAGTAAGGGAGATAAAAGAGCAAGGTTACTGTCTACTTTCCAATGCGCCCCACAAGGCTCCAAGTCTAGATGCTTGTGGGACCAGTGTGTGCCCAGAGTGGCTCTTTCCTCTGGGGGCCACGAACTGCTTGAGGCGTCATCATGCACAACTGACAAAGCTTGCCAACCAAAGAAAAAAAATTCCCCCGTCAAGGCTGGGATGAGAGAAGTTTTTTTCTCTTCTCAAGCATGCCAATCAACTGCTTCAGGGCTTGGACGAATCAGCATGCACCATCAGGCGAATGTGTGCTCCCTTCGCTCTCGGCAAAGAGCCTCTCAAAGTTTATTTCATTTCGCCCTTTGGGGGTCCAGACCTCAGCACACCCCAGAGCCTTGATTCCATATGCTTGTTTCTCTCGACCACCAGAGGGTGTGTGCATAATGAAATCTTCCTACCTCTTTATTTCTGTCTTGGACATCTTGTTGTCTTGATGGGAGGCCAGAAATTAACAACCAGGATCTCCCACTACCCACTCACCAGACCTTCCCTGGTAATGTGGGCTGGACGTTGAGAAGTCCTGTCGGCCATGCCTGAGCTTGAGCCTGAGCCTGAGAGAGGTGCAATCATGCCCAAAGTCCAGCCTCTCTTTGACAGCGCACATTCAGCTTTTCTTTTCTCCACATGCAAGTGGGAAGGGTGGGGGAAGCAAATCAGACAGCTTGTTTCAACAGAAAAAATGGCATCACCCATGGGAAAAGTTTCATACACCGCGTCAAAACTCCATCCATCTCCATTCCCACCCCCAACGGCCCCATTTTCCCCCGTTCCCGTTCCCGCTTCGAAGAATGTAGAAGGGAGATCCACTGGCCCACCAAGAGAGGAGGTCTATTTTCCCCGTGATTGATGCAAGCAGTGGAGAGAGCAGAGTTTTAGGGGGTTAGGTAAAGAGGGGACTCCCTTCTCGCCCGTGCCGACGTGCAATCGGGACCTTGGCCGGTGAAAGGGAGGGGGGGGGGGCGCCACATGGGAGCAAACACACACACCGGCTCCAGAGTCCCGGCCTGACCGGGCGGGTATCATCCACTGCACGTCTTGTCTTGTCTTTTTTTCTTTCTATTTTCTGCACCATCCCTTCTTTCTGCCCTGCATCTGCATGCCTGTGTTTTTCTCTCTGCCACGCACAATGGGGCCATATGCGGGTCTTTTACCCTCCCACTCCCTTCGCTGACCAGGCTCACACGCAATGCATGCATGCACCCACATGAACCGGTGAAGGAAAGACCCTGCGCTGAGACGGGGGAGGGGGGGCGTGGGCAGAAGAAAGGAAGAAGCGGGCCTCTATCCACGGCGGAAGAGCTGTCCGGAAGTTCCACAACCCTTTTGGCATCCGCTCTCCCTTCTCTCGCCCTCGTCGTCCTCACTCCACATCACACACGTCTGGTGGAACCACCCTTCCAACCTGAGAAACCCTTTGCCCCCAATCTGGAACCACCACCTGTCAGGTTCGGCAAATTTTCACCAATGGACCGGGGTCGAGGCGCCCAGCCATGTCTTTATGCTGGCAAAAGAGAGTAGAAGAAGAAAAAACTCAGACCCCGGCGGGTGCCTGGTTTAGGGGCCTTGTTGTGAGAGGTTTGAGGTGGCGTGGGGTAATGGCTGAGGCTAGGCACACTGGGGGGCGCTTGGGTGGGCGAAGGTAGACGAGGGTTCAACAAGATCATGGTAGATGGCGGCATGCTGGCTGTCGCCATCCCCAGCCACGGACACAAGAAACGTATCAGCCTGTGCACTCTTTCCGAGGAGAAATGCCCAACAATCACGAACACGATGGCAGCAGTGGCAGCAGCGGCAGCGGCACCAACAACACCACCGTCCCGCGAGAGATGGTCTGCCCGATGGGTGGCGTCCACTGGATCCTCGGTAGTCCCGTTGTTTGGCACCACCCATGCCCAAGCTGTGTTGTTGTGCCTGGGCATGTGTGCATGTCTCAAGTGTAGATGCATCCCCTGCCTTGCCCTCTCCACCAGGCTGGGCTGGGCTGGGGTAGAGGCAGATTTCTTTGGTTTCCTTCTTTTCCCCCTTTCGGCCCTGCAGCTAACTTGCCTTGTGTGTTGTTTGTGCATCATTGGGCTTGAAAAAAATATACTGCTGCGCCTTTCGCCTGCTGCCGCCTCCTCCCCACTCCTCTGAACGCCCCCGCTCTTTACCCCAGTGGGTTATAGAGACACGCCTTGCCGCAGCAAGGTCCGTGGACGAGAAGCCCCATCCGGTAGGCAGGCAGGCAAGTAAGCCACCAAAGAAGGCAGCCAGCTACCCAGTCAGTGGAGGTTCTCGTCAAGCCCACGGTCCCTCTTCAGACACGGGGGCGTCGGCCTGCCCTGGCTGCTTGCTATCTGAGCGGGTACAACGCGATCTGGAGAAGCCCAGGAGAGCCTTACCGATTCTGGCGTCGTCGAGTGTTTCCCCTATCTCGATATGTGCGGCTTGTTGTTTAGCAAAGACAGTCCTGTACTACGTACTTGTACTGCTGTACTGGAACACGCGCCATGGGTAGAAAGGGAAAGAAAAGAGGTGAATCAAAACAAGGCATGGTCAAAAGAAGAAGAAAATTCCCGACGATCATCAATCCTGGCCCACCTTCATCCCCTCTCGTCCCCCCTCCCTTTGGTGCTGTATCCATCGTCAGGCTGGGAGCGTAGACAACGTGAGCGCACGAGCGATGCGGGTCAGGGCAGACAAAAACTATACCACCCTAGCTGGGCCAGCCCACGCGTGGATGTCGTCGATCCTCCTCACTCAATCAAGGGGATTGGACGAGCCCAGCCCTGCCCTGCGGAGAGGAAGAAGAAGTAGAGGGCTTGTTTGGGGGGTGGAGGGGTGGGAAGAAACACATCCTTGTGGGGCAGGGTGTATCAGGCACAATCGCAGGAACGACATGAGGGCGCTGCATATGCTTAGATGTGCTGGCAGTCTCTGTTTGGCCTTCACTTACTTAGGGGTACGGGACCAAGGCTAGGGCTACGACTGGTTGGTTCGCTGAGGAGAGGAGACCAAGAACATTCTTGGGCAGCTGAGGTATAAGGTACAGGAATTGGGGCTTTCAGAGCTTGGGTATTTGCACGGGGGGCTTTGCCACAGTGCGACAAAAGAAGAAGAAAAAATTCATTTGCCCAGTACAGTAAGTAATTAAGTGGTATATGAGGCTTGGTGATGGGCATTGTGTGGTTGTGGATGCATCGATGATGTAACAGAGGTCTTAGAGCATGGGCTGTTGGCTGACATGACAAAGAAGTTGCTTCAGAAAGCTGTGGCACACACGCATTATTGCAACGACTCGTGTTGCTCAAGTCATGATAGATCTTTCTCGTATGACTTGGCCATGGCACAATATCATCTCCATAGGGCTTGAGTAGGGTGGATGGAAGGGCGCAAGCGTCTGTGCATCTCACCTCATCTGGATACGAGAGGCCAACAAAGAAGGTGAGAACTTGTGGAAGCCTGCAAACTTGCAATGGTCATGAGACTAAGAGCTGGATGGTAATAAGTGTGCCAGCCAAAAGTATTTACATGATGAATACAGATCTTGCTTCCAGGCCTCACCAAAGAAAATCCACCCAGGCAATCCCAAAGACCAAACACATCGACCACCACAACCACATGAACTCATCTGTCAATGCATGCCAATTCCGCCTTGCTGCAGTAATTTCATGCTCTTCAGCTCCATATAATTACGGTCGAGCAGGTGATCAATGTAAGGCCATTCTGAATCGCCAAATGTGGACGCCCCCTCGATCTCAACCAAGGGAGGACACTTTTTTTTCGAGCCACAATGCTGTGAGACTTGCTTACAACCCCACAACTCCGCCTCCTTCTTACTCAAGCATTCATGAACTAGGATGGGACAAGAGTGAAGGGTGGTGTGCACGAATGTGCAATGTCCCTTCGCCTGGTCCCGAGGTTGTTTTCTATTTATCGCTGATATCGAGTCATCCACGAACAAATTTTTTTAGTTCTTTATTCTTTTTGTAGATACACACCCCTCGAGAGTTGTTTCCGCCAAAAGAAGATGGTGGTGGGTGTATGGAAAGAAGGAGCAGTTCCTCCCTGTGTTACGTTGTCTCAGATCCATCTCTTTTTGTGGCTTCAAATGGTCACAGTATCTAGTAAGGAATCTATACTCGTCTCTGGGCCTTGGCCACTTTCAGAAGAGAGAGGAGGTGGTGGTGGTGGAGGAGGACGACAACGACGAAGAAGAAGCAAGAAATTTCATGAAGGGGGGGGGGGGTGGGAAGTTGCTTGATTGGAAAGAAGGAAGAGAGCTTTTTTTCCCCCTTTTCTTTCTTCCTCGCCCCATCATGACAAATTGTTATATTTGCAACGTCTCTATCCTAGTCATAAGGGAGGAGGATGGCTGGTTTGTCCCTTTGCTCGAAGTGAGGGATCTAAAACCTCGAATTACGCGCGCTCTCTCTCTCTCTCTCTCTCTCTCAAAACTCATGAAATGATGATGGAATTAATTTCAGATCTCCACTACAATTGAGTCTGGCATCGACCGCAAGTACCGGACCTCGTCAGCTGACCGCCTACAACTATCCTACGTTTGGCAATTGCCACAAGTCTTAGAGTGGCGGTTTGCTCAGGAAGGTTCCAGTGGAAGTTCTTTTTTAGATATTTCATCGTATCGTCCTATATGAAGGAGCTATGGGCTGGACTTTTGTTGTTGCCGAGTGTCTCGGGGTGTCCCTCCGCTGCTCGCCTCCCCACTACTGAGGCGTTGAGGGAGGTGGGAGGAGGGGCTTATTGCCATCGGTGCAGGTGTCAACGTACGATCCCCCCATGGTTCATGCACACGGTCTTGGACCCCCCCCCCCCCGAGAGATCCTGACGCCTTCGAGTAAGGGTTTTCTTTGCGCCAAAACGCCTATTCACCGGACATGTCTCACGATCTACTGGCTGGCGGTCTCGGTTACTTTTTGGCTTTCTAGGCGCGGCTTGTATTAGACTTTGACGATCTTGTTTTAGTTACTAGGCAACTTTTTTTCTTGTATTTGATTTTTTTCACCATGACAAATTTTGTGGACTCTATTGTGCTTTTGGAGTCTTGTCACTGTGTTCACTTGCTTTCGTCACTGAACTTTAAATGGCTATTTATACTTAATCTTATGATGAGGACACTGATGGACCTGGAAAGGGGGGGGGGGTGGATGTACATCCCAAGTCTCTGAATTATATGTGAAAGCGGTTGTATTAATTATAGCTCGCCCGAGGCTGCTTACGGGCAGTATCTTTCAATGTTATCAAACGCCTGGAGATACTTTGGACAATTCATACTTCTGCTGACGTTGAGACTCCCCTAACACACATCAAATGCAGGGAGACCACCGATCAAAGATGAAAAGGTGAGGTGATACGCATCATCATCTCTGTACAAGGAAGACGGTGAAAGTCAAACATCATGCTCCGGCCCAAGAATAAGATATTCTGGTAACAGAGCTGTGACTTCCTGGATGTTTAACAATTATGAAACTGTAATAGATAGACATTATTTCCTCAAGCGTGAAGCTACATGTATTGTTCTATGACTGTCGAGTGGTGGATGGGGATAGGTATGACTGTACAATAATTAACGCAATATAAACTTTGTTTTCTCGAATCTATTTACTTATTTATTCATGCAGAGAAACACTAGAAACAGAAGAAAGAAAAAGACTGAGAAGAAGTGTGTTGCGAGGACCTCGGGCCGAATGACAATTGTCGAGGCTATTACAAGTGAACTTGGCCACTCGTTTCACAGCGTGGTCTATGTACTTCTTCCACGATAGCACACAACGTTGGACAAGTCTTGGCTGAGAGGGCGATCTCTTGCCCTTGCCTGGGCCTATCGGGGGAGGGGGTGGTCAATTTCGAGACAAAACCCTTCCCATATGTGAGCTATATGTGATGTGATGGCTTGATTCATGCCGGCCTTGTCTTTCCGAGAAATCAAGTGATGATCAGCTGAGCTGATGCGGAGAATGATGTATCCCAAAAAATTCGTTTGTTTTGTTGGGGGGAAGGATTTCTGTCACACAAATGTTGCCACTGTTTTCTCAAGTCATACGAGAGGGGGGCCGGAAGCCATTCCATTACTGCATGTATGTCTCGATATGAAATTGTTGATTCCCTCCCTCCCCCCGGTGAGACAATGGGAACCGGGTCCCCTCCTGTCTTTTTCTCTCTCAACTTTGTCTCACTGCAGCCCGCTGTGTCCCAGGGGAAAAGAATTAAAAAAACAAACAAAAAAAAAACACCCTTGTTTCTTGGGAGCTTTGATTAGCCCCCGTGGTGCCACATGTACGGATTTCATTCGTGAGCAGCGGGCTGACGTTGAATTTCTGCGCAACCCGCGCATGGATGAAAAGGTCAACAGCATGCTCGCAGCTTCGAAAGCTTCCGTTGGCCTTTTGAAAGGGGGAGGGGTAAGGGGTGCAAGGGGGTAGGGGTCAACGCAACACTGGAAAAGGCGACGAGGTACCTTTGGACTTCAGGTGATAGAACTACACCTCTGGTCTTTTGAGATTGGGAGGGAGAGACCCACAACGTGTGCAAAATCTCGAGGTGTACCATACCCAACAGCAGAACTCTTTCTCTGGTAGGATGGGAGGTGATGACTGAACAGAACACTACTCCAGAGCCGCCCGCAGGCTCTCACAGCGCGATAGTGAGGTGCTCGAAGCCCCTCGCGAGCACCTCCTCCCCACCAGCCTCCTCGATCTCCAGCTCGACATCCGGCTGCATCTCCCTGTACATCGCATTGCTCTCGCTCGCCATCTTGCAGTTGTAGGCGGCCTCCTCGTCGCTGATGATGTTCTTGGTGAGCCTGCCGCCGGCACAGGCCGCCTCGACCTGCAGCTGGATGGCACAGCTCCGCTCCATGAGGCCGAAGATGAAGCCGGCCTCGTCGACGGTGTAGCCGACGCTCAGCAGGCCGTGGTTCATGAGGATGGCGCCCTTGTTGTGCTGGCCCAGCGCGTCGGCGATGCGCTCGCCCTCGTCGCTGGCGAACACGATGCCGCCGTAGTCGGCATACACGGCGTGGCAGTTGAAGAGGGAGCACACATCCTGCGTGATCATCTCGAGCGGGCGGGCGAAGACGCTCCACGCGCGGCCCGCCATGGTGTGCGCGTGGCAGACGGCGTGGATGTCATTCCGCCGCTTGTGGATCGCGCTGTGGATGTAGTAGCCCGCCTTGTTGCCCGTCACCCGCCCCGTCGCCGGGTTGGGGCGGCCGCCCACGATGCGGCCCGTCGCGATCTCCATGGGGATGAAGTCGCCCGCCGTCAGCGTGCCGTAGTGCCGTGAGAGTGGATTCATCCACATGATCTGAGGAAACTCCGGGTCCCGAATCGAGATGTGTCCCGACTGGCCCTCTGCGTAGCCCATGCGTGACCAATTCCGGAAGACGGCAGCCATGTGGACGAGGATGTGCCGCCGCTCCGCAGTGTAGCTGGGAAAACTCGGTATGTCTGGTGTTGAGTATCATGTCAGTGCTTGGTTCTGGGACGTGACATATTCAGACCATAGAAGAGATGGCCTCCTCTTGACCATGCACATCCTCTGTCTGAGCTGCCTTATCCTCAGCAGTGACCGCCCAAGGTGGCAGGCTTGAACTCACCAGGTAGGACATCGCCATGTGAGATAGCTTCGAGCGGTGTGACCTCCTTGTCGGCCTCTTGAACCGGCTGCGCCTTAGTGACCGCAACAGCGGTGATGGGAGGTATCTCTGATGTCGCCGCGGGTGCCATCTCAAATAACAAGACCAGGGGCTCAAGGTGCTTTGCTATAATAGCAATGATAAGTTTCCAAGGCCAATACTGACTGATACGAGACACACGCTGCGCTGGACGTTTCTTGTAATTTCGCAGGCGAGGATCAAGAGTAAAATGTTTCGAGTCCGGAAAGTGAATTTTGACTTTCTGTTTTCGTCCTTCTCTCTCCTATCCCTTTTTTTATTTTATTTTTTTACTCCTAGTCTTCTCCCCTGCCCTTTTTGTGGTCGTTTGGGGTGATGTTGCATATAAAACGCGAAAAGTGAAAGACGATTCGCTTGTTGCTGATACGCATTGCCGCCCGAGCCTGGCGTTTCATGCCGGTCCGGCAGTGGAAGACCGGGCCGGCTCGAGTATGCGCTGTACAGCAGGTCTCGAGCCGCATAAGTAGTGTCTCTAGCCTGTTTGTTGTATGATGCGATCAATTTAATTTTGCCCTCTCGAGCCATTCTCAGTAGGCGATGTTGATAGCTTGGATATGTATGAGTGGTTGGAACGGTACATTAACCGTACGAGGCATCCGGGAGTGGTGGCGAGCCTTGACTTGGCGGCATAATTCGGTACCTATATCGAGATTTCCGAGAACGACAAGGAAGAATGTTACTCCACTGGCGATCTACACGTAGAACAGGGCCAGAGGCCCTGGAAGCAATATCCATCGAATGTCGATGGCGCTTTGTTACCTAGCATAGCACCCCGCTTGAACACCAGCCTTCTCATGCGTCGTTCCCGCCCCCGTCCTCCCAATGTCGATAGTATATTTCTCAGTCCTCTTCAACAACGTAGCCGTCGACTCCGATTCTAAAGATGCCCTAGAGGGAGAACCTGTAGCATAGCGAACTATGTTGCGACCGCTATGCTTCTGGTAGCGGTTGGAGCCAAGCTGCGTACTGTAGAGGGAAGACAAATCAAGTCAACCCACTGTGGGCGAGCGATTTCCGTCCCATAGCACGAGGTAGCGGCCCAAGAATGGCCACACAAGCTTGCAGCTCAGTTTCTCGCTAACCAGTCGCGCGATTCACTGGAATCACGACCTCTGAGCTTCAAGGAGATCAGACTGCTCACGATGTCAGCGGGTGTAGATAATTCTCGTGGACACGAGTAGACGCTCGAAGCTCCTTGGAAAGAAGTAAAATAAGACAGGCACAGAACTGGACTGAGCTAGGATTCAAACCAAAATCAGTTTTTGGTCCTCTTCGGTCTACGAGTGAACATGTCTCGGTGATGCTTGATTGCCTCAGACGATGCTGTCTGGTATACTAGCGACAAAAGATGCTCATGTGCCTGAAAGTTTCTAGAGACTTGACTCGAGCCAGAGCCGAATGTTGACGAAGCGGGCAGTTTTTTCTCAAATGATTTCTGGGGATCGTGAAGACTGCAATATCTGCAATGGTATGCTTCGCTTGCATTGGACGTACGTTGATGGAAGACAAGGCGACGACACATGAGATCAAGCTGTGAAGAAAAGCTTCTGCATTCTGTATCCCATTGGCGCATAGTGCGTCAGTGCTGTACAGTAGGTAGTGGGTACAGTAGTAGGGGTGCTCGGATGGCCAGGGGGCTGTGAGCAGCAGCGAGTCCCGCTGGGGCAGCTCGAGCGGCAGGCATCTGCACAACCCACTTTTCCCATCAGCTCGCCGTCGCGGCACCAGCATTTTCTTCAACCGCGACGAGGGGCTCACCTGCTGTCAACAGCCTCGCTAGTATCCGTCGTCCAGTCCGGCCAACACCTTTTCTTGTTGTGCCACCCCTTTCCACCACAGCTCATCACTGGTTCCCTGACACTATCCTCTTCAGCTTTTGAGAGCAGACCAGTCAAGATGCAGGCCCCAGTCCTGGTTATGAGTACGTTTATGCCCCCGCCATGAGATGGCCGTGGTGGAGCTCTCGCAGAGCTTGCCTAGGCGGCCACCCGAGAGGTTACCATGCTAAAATGCAGCTATCTACAGACACCGCCAGCGGTGAGAGGCAGACTGGCAGGAAGGCGCAGTTGTCCAACATCGCTGCTGCGAAGATGTAAGCTCCCCTTCTACTCCAACCGCACTGTCCACCGGCTCAGGACGATAAAACAAGAGAATACTGACCAACCGTGTGCACCACCACCACCACCAGCGTTGCCGACATCATCCGATCATGTCTCGGCCCCAAGGCTATGTTGAAGATGCTTCTGGATCCCATGGGAGGCATCGTGCTCACCAATGACGGACACGCGATTCTGCGAGAAATCGAGGTCTCGCACCCTGCTGCGAAGAGCATGATCGAGCTCAGCCGGACCCAGGACGAGGAGGTCGGCGACGGTACCACAACGGTCATCATCTTGGGTACGTGTCAAAGGCTTCTTTCCCTTCTGACAGCATAAGTTTTTCTCTTTTCTTAGCATACTGACTTACGAGTGAAGCCGGTGAAATACTGGCACAGGCATTGCCCCAGCTTGAGCGAAACATCCATCCCGTGGTCATCATTTCCGCCTTCAAGCGTGCCCTTGCCGATGCCCTACAGATCATCGAAGACATCTCTCTTCCCATCGACATCAACGACGACAAGGCCATGTACGGACTGATATCATCGTCGATCGGCACCAAGTTTGTCTCGCGGTGGTCGGAGCTCATGTGCAGCCTCGCCCTCAAGGCCGTGCGGACCGTGTCGTGGGAGGTTGGCAACGGCAAGACTGAGGTAGACATCAAGCGGTACGCCCGTGTCGAGAAGGTTCCTGGTGGTGAGATTGAGGACAGCAGGGTTTTGGACGGTGTCATGCTCAACAAGGACATCACACACCCTAAGATGAGGAGGAAGATTGAGAACCCCAGGATCGTGCTGCTCGACTGCCCGCTCGAGTACAAGAAGGGAGAGTCGCAGACGAATATCGAGATCTCCCAGGAGGAGGACTGGCAGCGGATATTGCAGATCGAGGAAGAGCAGGTCAAGATCATGGCTGACGCGATTCTGGCCGTCAAGCCGGATCTTGTCATCACCGAGAAGGGAGTGTCAGGTCCGTATACACCCTCAAGATTTTATATTATGCCCTGGTACCGCAAGAACACTGACTGACAGATATGCTACAGACCTCGCCCAGCACTACCTGATGAAGGCCAACGTCACAGCACTGCGCCGTGTGAGGAAGACGGACAACAACAGAATCGCGCGGGCCACGGGCGCCACCATTGTCAACCGGGTGGAGGACCTCCAGGAGTCGGACGTCGGCACCAAGTGCGGCCTGTTCGAGATTGAGAAGATCGGCGATGAATACTTCACCTTCCTGACGCAGTGCTCGGAGCCCAAGGCCTGCACGGTGCTGCTCCGCGGTCCTTCCAAGGACATCCTCAACGAGGTCGAGCGAAACCTGCAGGACGCCATGGGCGTGGCACGCAATGTCATGTTCCACCCGCGCCTCTCTCCCGGCGGTGGCGCGACAGAGATGGCTGTGTCTGTGAAGCTGAACGAGATGGCCAAGGGTGTCGAGGGTGTGCAGCAGTGGCCTTACAAGGCTGTGGCCGAGGCGATGGAGGTCATCCCCCGGACTCTGATCCAGAACGCAGGCGCAAGCCCTGTGCGTGTCCTCACGGATCTGCGCGCCAAGCACGCCGAGGGTCTGACCTCGTGGGGCATCAACGGGGACACGGGCGCGCTGGCCGACATGAAGGAGTATGGCGTGTGGGAGCCGCAGGCGATCAAGCTGCAGAGTATCAAGACGGCTATCGAGGTATGTTTGTGTCTTTTCCCCTCCATCTTTGTGTGACCTTGTTGCGTTTATTTGTGCCATTTTCTTTCTTTCTTTCTTTCTATGTGACCCTGCCTTGCTAACTTGATCCTCAAATAGGCTGCCTGCCTGCTGCTGCGTGTCGATGACATCTGCAGCGCGAAGAAAGCACCAGCTGGTGTCGGTACGGGTGGGGGTGATGACTGAAGAGAGAAGCTGCGAGATTAGACTTGATGCCCTGCAAATAAAAAGATGTGTTGGCTTGATCATACCCTGTATTACCTACCCATAGATACCGGTCCAGGTAGAGAAGAAAAAAACACAAAATGACACTTCGCAGCAGATGTGTGTGCTGCCCGCGCGCCTTCCCGTCTTTTAACCTGGTATCTGCGTCTCCTGTTTCCCAATTTCTGCTCAATCATCATCATGAATGAGTAATCCTGGTGTGCTTCCTTCAGGTGTAGCTACCTGACGAGTCTTGGCGTCCTCAGTGTCGACATCCATCTTGCCATCGCCAGCCTCGCCGTCCCCATCCCTGTTCCTAGCTTGCACCACGCGTGCCTTGACACCACGGCCACCATTGGCAGCTGTGCCGCCGTCTGGCTGCTGGTGCTGCTTGGGCCCATCCTTCCTGCCCGCCTTGGCCTTGTCCTTCCTCGCCTTCATCTTCTCCCTCTTGGCGCGGTTCCTCTCCGTCTTCTTGCGGTCCTCCTCCTCCAGCTCCTTCTTCTTCTCCTCAAAGTCCCGCTGCGCCTCGTCCCGCCTCACCTCCTCGTCCATAATCCTGAGCCGCTCATACTCGCGCCGCCTGGCCGCCTTGTAGACGTGGAACTCGCCCGACCCGGCACCGGCTGACGAACCCTGGACGTTGGTCACGATCTCGGGCGGGAGGGGAAGCTTTCGTTTTGGATCGGGGGGGCCCGTAGGGATGCGGATGTCCTGGTCGGGTCGGGCAAAGAGGCTGTCGAGCTGGGAGGCCTGCTGGGAGACGGGGGTGAGGGCGCGCTTCTTGACGGGCCGCTTGGAGCGCGGGTCGGCGGAGACGGGGATCGACTCGGGGCCCGGGGCAGACATGGCGGGCGGAGGATGTGTTTCTCTGCTAGAGTATTCAGAATATCTGTCCTACTGCTCTTTGACCGGGTCGAGTGGAATTGTACCGGGTGTGGGTGGTATTGTTTGCCCCCGTCTCGTTCTGTTGCGAATGAAGGAAGGATGTCTCGAATGAAATGATTAGGCGCGGAAAGAGAGGGTGGTCTAAGCGCCACAAAAATAGCCGCGCGTAAAACCCGCGCCAGTGAGAGAGGAGAGACCAGACCAGACCAGACCAGACCAATGGGGTTGCGACCCAGCCAGCCTTGTATTGTATGAGGTTTGTTTTTTATTCTATTTTTCTTATTTTTAGCTGATGTATATGTATGGTAGATAAGTCGAAACGGGCAACCCCGAAACAAAACACTAAACAGAATACAGAGAGAAGTGGAATTTCTCGGGATGTACAATGCAACACTTGGTGACGATCTTTTTCTCCTTACTGCCGCAAATCGGACCACCGCGATTGCCGCCTTGGTCAGTACTGATCAGATCTAGGTTGGAAATCGGTTGACACTCGACCCTGTGTCGGTCGATGGGACTGGCTGGATCAGCTGATGGGCTGTGTGTGTGTGTGTCCTTGCAGACAGGTTGACTGTTGGGCGGACGTCAATTACCAATCCGACCCAATGGTTTGGAAAAAGCCAGAGCCCCCCGAAGGCGACTTTCGTGCTAATAAGGTTTGGTTTTGCCGTCTTGAAACTAAACCAGGGGGGGTTGTTGGCACACTACCGAGGGTAAGTGATAATACGTACTACCGACATACTAGGCCAAGTTATAGGTGTTGGCGGCTACATAGATAGGGCTTACCCAGGGCCCGCTCCCCCAGGCAACACCCCCTGTGCCCCTCTCCAGCGTAAATTTGGTGACAATCCCCACCCAACTTTTCCTTTAGAGCCCGTAAAGTCGCACCACTCTTAGAGTACTTGTACAAGATTGTGGTTGCAACAACCTCACCTCGTCCAGACACCTACTACTCCTCTGCCAGCACATGTACTTTGATGCCCCAACAATCTGTGTCGACAACACACACACCTCTTGCACAAGGTACCTCCAAAGTTTTATGCAGGTGTACCGCGTACAGCAACAACATCTGGTCTAGCCTCAAACTATACTGTACTGGGCTGGGCTGAACTTCTCTCCGGAAACAGACGACACCACCTTGTCTCCCCTCTCCCCAATCCCGACAACACCCTTACCAATACGGCTTCTTGTCTGCTGTCTACTGTCGACTCCTCTTTCCAACCCTTACCCAGGATTTTAAGCTGTTGGGACAACTATTACAGAACCCCTTGAGGTGTCTTGAACCACATGGCTCCCGTCCCACAGCATAGGCGCAAAGGGGTACTTACTTCAACCCCACTACCTCCTGTCTAACCTTCAAACACACCCTCCTCGACCTCCTTCTCTACCTCTGCACTGTACCCTATACATCCTGCACACCACCTTACTTCACATGGTCTCTTGTTCTGCAATAGCCTGTGTGTGTTGTCTCTGTCTACTACCCCAAGACTGACTCACACACCCACCCTTTCCCCATCATTCTGTTGGGCTCTTTGCCAGTGGTTGCAGGCGCCTCTTCTTGAGTCGTGTGCCTTGACTTGGCTGCCTATAAATACAGCAACATAATCGTTGTTGCTGTCCTTCCCCCTCCAGCCTGCCTCCCTCACTATATAAGACCTCCTCCCCTGGTTCCAACGTCTAAGCTGACCAGACATGGCAAAGCCCCGCCTCATCATCCTCATCAGACATGGCCAGTCTGAGGGCAACAGTAAGTTTTCCCCCTCTAAATGCCACACCATTGAGCAGAGAACAATGTTGCTAACGGTGAACTACCTTCCTCCTCGACAGAAAACCGTGATATACACCAAACCATTCCCGACCATCGCGTAAAACTCACCAAAGATGGTTGGGACCAAGCCTACGATGCCGGCCGGCGGCTGCGCAACATGCTCCGGGCCGACGACACCCTGCACTTCTTCACCTCTCCCTATCGTCGGACCCGCGAGACCACCGAGGGCATACTCGCCACCCTGACCTCGGACGAGGACGAGCCCTCACCATTCAAGCGGAACAATATCAAGGTGTACGAAGAGCCTAGGCTGCGCGAGCAGGATTTTGGAAACTTCCAGCCCTGCTCTGCCGAGATGGAGCGCATGTGGCAGGAGCGCGCGGACTATGGACATTTCTTCTACAGGATCCCAAACGGCGAGAGCGCAGCGGATGCCTATGACCGCATCAGTGGCTTCAACGAGAGCCTGTGGAGGCAGTTTGGGGAGGATGACTTTGCCAGCGTCTGTGTCCTGGGTATGTTGTCCCAAGTACCGTCTCACATATGCATGTGACAACAGAGAATGCTTACCACGTTTGCTCTTCCTCTGCAGTCACTCACGGCCTTATGTCTCGTGTCTTCCTTATGAAGTGGTACCACTTCAGCGTCGAGTACTTCGAGGACCTCCGAAACATCAACCACTGTGAATTCCTCATCATGAACAAGCAAGAGAGCGGCAAGTACATGCTGGAGACCAAGCTACGGACATGGTCAGAATTGCGACGGGAACGGGCTCTCAAGAAGGAGAAGGAGAAGGAGAAGAACGGCACGCCCACGGGCAAGGACACTGCCAAGCTCGACAAGGCTCTCGCCGCGACGCAATCCCCCGTGGCCGCACCACGTCGCTGGGGAGGCTGCCCAAACGGCTGCAATCACGACAAGTCCTTCCGGATCCGCTCTGCTCTTGCTGACCTCGTCAAGCGTGACGCCACCTCGGCCCACCCGAACCTGCCTGCTGCGTCCTCGTCCCCCGTGTCGGCGAAACCTCTCAGCGCCATCAGCATCTCGTCCTCGCTCACTACCCACGGCATCGCCACACCGCCCACTACAAATGGGACGTCAACGCCTTCCTCCAACCTCGGCATGCGCCGGCACCAAGCACGGCGGTTCCAGTCCGAGGACGAGGATGACGACCTGTGCTGCTCTGACGCCGAGGAGGAGGCGAGCAAGGCGCGTACCCCGCATATCGACGTAGCCAAGGCCCGTGAGGAACTCGTCTCTAGCCCTGACGGCACGCCTAGCTTTATTAGTGTGGATGACCGCCTGCGGGGGATGGACATCAAATGCCTGCCCGTGCACCGGCTTCACGCACGTGGTCGTGATTTCGGCGGGTCATACTCTGGGCAGAACTCGCGTGCCAATAGCGATGTGGATTCCTCGGAGGACGAGCGCGCGCGGCTCGCCCGGCGGCGTCAGCTGTCGTCGTCTGGAAAAACGGAGACAATGGCGGCAGCGGTAGCAGTGGCAGGTCTCAGGATCGTCACGGGCGAGGTCCAAAATCTTCACCTAAACCTCGGTGGGGATGAGCCGACCAGCGGCGTTTCCAAGCGTGACCAGAGCGGCATGGGCCGGAACACGATGGCTAACAGGCTAGGAGACTCGCCTACGAGCAGCAACGACGAGCATGAACACGCCGATGACGAGCGGGAGAGATGCGGCGCGCAGGACGATGCGGACGATCTCTCTGATATCGACAAGGCGGAGAAGGAGGATCGGAGTATTAAGGGCAGCGTATACTGATTTTTTATTATTATTGTCTGCTGGATGCTGCTTCAATGTGTTGCTCTCCTCTACAGGCCTGCTTCGAGGACCACTGGATGGTGCTCGGATGATGAGGAGATGATTTGGGAATGAGCTTCAGCATTTCCCCTACTTAGGGCTCAGCTGGATGTTGTGTGTTGTTCTCTCACGCACGATGGATGGTTCTTGGCTCCTTTCAGTTAGAGGTCTGTATTTGCGGAGGAGATACCAGATTGCATTACTTTTTTTTTTTTTTTTTTAGAGGTCATGCCAGTCTGTGTGGGCTGGCCTTGATGGGGCGGCGAGTGGGCCAAAAAAGAAAAAAAAAAAAAAAAAAAGAAGAAAAGAAAAGAAAAGAAAAAAAAGTAACAGGCACACATAGACACACATAAACAAGTCTTACGAGAGATGAATATGAATATCAGGATTTTTCGAGTTTCTAGTTGGCATCAGTGCCTGCACTGGAGCCTTCTCCCTCTATTCTTGAATAAGTGCAAGAACCTTGGAAGACAACCCCCCCTCCCTTTCTCCCCCGGGCGAGCATTAGGGGTCCAGTGTTCACAGGGTCTTCTTCACATGCTCGTTTCGTCTTTTACCCCGTTCGCAGGCCGTTCTTCCCCCCACCGGTACCATCTTATACATCCCTTCCACCAACCCACCCGCCGCAAAACCCCTCCACCAGCACCTGACGGACCCCTTCTTTCCAGGAACCAAAACCAAACTTTCTTTCCTTGTCTTCTCCAGACAGCAGCAGCACTCTCGGTCCAATGGAGCCAGGAACGGTTCCTTGTCCTATGCAATGCAACCCCCGCCCACCCGTGCCCGCAGCATGACCTATTCCATCATCCTTTTACGCACGCAAAGTATGTGAGATGATACAATGGTGCTGGTAGTGGTGGATCGTGTCATGAGTCGTTGTTCCTGTTAATGCATGCATGACAGGCAGGATGAGGTGAATGGAGTAGGGAAGTTTTTAGGGGGGGGGGCGAGGAAGATATAGGCTAGGGGAGGTTTCGTTTATTATAGTATCAAACCTGACTTTCTTCTTCTTTTTGCTCTTTCCTAGTTTTCCTATCTTGACTATTGATTTTCCTTTGGATGAGCTGGCGGGAAGAGGCAAGAAACCCCGTGATATGATGGTGGTGAGGATCTTCCACTTCGTATCCGTTTGGAATACATCTACACAACCTTCAATATCCAAAAAACCCCAATTTTTTTCTTCTTGGCTAATTTGGTCTTCTGTCCCGTTTTCCTGAGGGGCAAGGCGGCTAGCAGGTTTTTGACAGGTACACAAGGCAAGCAAAGAATCAATATGGGGTGGGTGACAATATTGTGCTCTGCTTTGTTCCTCCCTGTACAATTGCAATCCTCTTCCGTCGCCTTCCACGGCGGCCCTTTCTTTTTCGTACATCGCAGCGTAAGGTTGTACTTGTTAAGTTTAAGAACGAGAAAATAATTGAGAATAGCTGGGCTGAGGAGGGGCTCTTTCCTCGCCTCGTTAACCGTGGGCAAGTGTCTCGTGTGGCCTTGGGAGGTCCAACGAGAGAAGGAAGAAGGAAGGAGGGAAAAAGGCGGGAAAGGGACCCCACGTGGAAATCAGCGATATCCTTGTTCCCTCGCTCGCAACGTCCCGAGGGAAGATCATCCGACTGTCAAAGCTCAGGCCACTTTTTTCTTCTTTTTTTCATTTTTCCCCTGCGACGGGCGGGAAACCAAGAACTCTGTCAGGGTGCATGCTTGCGGAGAAGACAAGAATAATCTGAAAGGAGCATGAAGGAAAACTTAATCACCTGTTCCTAAAACGCGTGTGCAGGTATCTTTTCGTCTCTTTGGGACGAGCGTGCATAGCTAGGGAGTCAGTCGGGCTGGGACGGTGGTGTGCGTGGACAAGTCAAAACCAAGCTACTTCTAAGTGCCGACTCAAGTAAGTACTCAAGTACTTCGTAGGTACATCGCACGCGCCCTGCTGAGGGAGTGAGCGATTGAGGGACAGAGAGGACAAGAGACATAGAAAGGGACCGGGAAAAGAAAGAAAGTGTGTCTGTCCTTTTGCTCCGGGATGACCGTGAATAGAATATGCTTGCAGGGCGTACGCGGCTCCAAGCTCGCCTTGTTATCCAACCTGCCACGCTATGAGAGGGGGCTCTCTCTCTCTCTCTTCTCAAAAAAAAAGGAAACAGAGAAGGCCCGCCGCTGTCGTGGCCGTTGGAGTTGGTGGGATGGAGCGGAGCCGCTTCGCGTTGACGTTCGGCACCGGGGGTTCGGCTCATTGTATCTGTTGCCAGGTCTGGGGGAAAAGAGGGTTGCATGTAGATCACTGATGAGCAGGAGAAGGAGCATGAGGGAGTAGTACTCCTAGTTTATACTAGGTATTTTATTGATATTATTATTAGTTGGGTTCTGGGACGGGGTTCAGGTTGGCTATACGAGACCCGCAGACCCAGAGAATGAATGGCAGGAGCACCGGCATTGAGATCTATAAGCGGGTATGTACTTAGTCAACGGTTTGTATGCATGTGTAATAGGAAGAGTGCAGCATGAGAAACTACGTACCTATTGACTTCCTGTGTATGTATCAACCCATCTGCTCATCAATCTAAAGATAATTTGACATTCCACGTGCGATTCAGTACTTTTCATTTGCATTTAGGTCCAATTGTGACAGGCGACTGACAACAAGAGGTAATTACTCGGCTGAATCCGTGACGGACGCCAACTACGTCATCCCGCGGTTTTGCTGTCTTGCTGTGTATCGTGTGGTACGATGCAGAGGACTGAACGCACATTTGGAGTAGCACTACTCAGGTCACCATTCTTTCTCTCATCCGTCCCAGAGATTCCAAACTGTGGTAATTGTGGTTAGGTGACACCCAGCCACAGCTGCCGCTGCCCCTTGTTCTGTCATTGGCAGAGCAGATGTGAAAAGACTAATCAAAGGGCGGCGGGGGCGCTGGCTGGTGGGTGATCGAAGAATACTGGGGCGATGTTGAGATATATGACCTTACGGGTTTTCCGGTAGCGCCCTCGACTATAGGGACTTGGGAGGGAAGGGAAAAAAGATTGGGTCGTTCTGGACAGCTAAGAGACATGGTCGATCTCTTGTAATGGACCACAGCGGCACTTTGGGGCGTGGATGGATGATCTCAGTTTCTTCTGTGTGTCTCTTGTTTTGAGGCCGAGGTGGAGCGAGGAGAAGCGTTTGTTTGTATGATTAGGTATTATACGTTGGTGCTATCATGTGCTACGAAAACTGAGAGCTGAGTTGGATTGTTGGGGGGGGGGGACACAGAGTGTACATTGGTGTAGTACTACGTTAGCTGTCTGGATGTTAACTCAGGGGCAATTTTTTTCAGGGGGAGTCAAGCAGGCTGCATCCAGGCGGGGGAGCAAGACCAGAAAACCTGAAAACTGGCGTCCGCAAAAGGGTCCCACAGCCCTAGCCCGCACTGCCTGGTAAGCCTGGACAGCCCTAGATAAGTGACCCTGGGCCATCCATGAATGCTACAGCATGTGCCATGGTACTAGTAGTAGTACCAATGTGAGGCGTACAGGTGCCAATTTGGATTTGTCCCTACAACAGTACTACTATGGTAACGGAACAGTCCTGTACTTTGACTTGCTGTTGCGGCTGCTTGCTGCATTAGCATTGATTTGTGCTGTCATGTCGATGGGTCCCCCTAAGCCAAATCACACTAGCCAGGTCTCCTCCTGATGCATACCTTCGAGCTGTCATGCTATTGTGTGAGTTGGGATGCAATTTGTTTATTGATCATTTCTTCTTTAGGGCGGGCCTATTGCCTCGTCCTCGTCCTGTAATATGCTGCACCTTAGTTAGTTTATCGAGTCTCTCTCACACAGCATTAGCTGACCAAGTAGGAAGAAGAAGAAAAGGGGGCATTTGTGTGGTGTAAAGATTGAGTGAATCAGAGTAGTGTGTTTGTGTGGTGTGGTGTGGCGCCGCCCTCTCTTGCTTTCTCAGCTACCCGCTCTGGGGGGTTACCTACGTCATTGCTCCTGGCCCTGAGGCAACTGCATCGCCCCCAGGACGCGGACCTGTGCAACCTTTTTGCAACCTCTTGCAATTGCTCCTCCTGTTGATGACCTTGAAGAGGAGGAAGCAAAAAAAAAAGAGAGGAGAGGAGAGACCATCTCTCCCCCCAAAAACAACACCTGATCGTGCCTGTCCAGCCTCATCATACCTGCCCCATCCGTGATTTGGCCTTGTCTCCAGCAGCTCTTTCTTTCCACCCCAGTCCCTGGCTATCTTTTACCACTGCCTCATCTTGCAAACCAAGCAATCACCTCAGCCAACCAAACAAATCCCATCGCCAACCTTCGCCCTCTTCCTCCCTCCCTCCCACCTCGTTCGTTCAATCTTGTCTCCTGACTGATTGACCAACCTGCTCTTGGGTGCTACTCCTCTGTCGTCATCAATTTTACCACCTCTTTCTCTCTTCTCTTCTTCTTTTCCTTCCCCATCTGTGGGGAGGCATTCACAACAGCTCGCTCGCCTTTCACTGCCTCCTAAACCACAGGTGCAAAGCTATTGTTTGACCTGACCTGTCTAGTTGACACAAGACACATCCGCCTGTGTTCCACATGCTGCACAAGCAAGGACAACAACAACAATCACGACAGTAAATACACGCGGCAGCAGCTCGGGGCTTCATATCCTTTTACCATCTCCAACACGATCGCCGCCGTCATCGCCACCGCCGCTGCCGCGACTCTGACGAACGAAACAAGAGAGGTCTCTCGGATGGAATCACGCGCGTGAGGAGGCATGCCAGGGTCAAATTCAAGCGCCGACACCAATCAGGGCATGTCCAGCACCACCCGCCAGTCGCTTGACCCTCACCACGACGTCGCGCCTTCCGAGACGTCGCCCGACCAGCAGTCTGACCCTCCGCCGGCCGGGCATGGGAACCAGAGGCCTTCGATAGCTCAAAGAGATGCAGCAGCAGCAGCGGTAGCAGCAGCAGCACTGATGTCCCGCCCCTCGGGTACTGCAAGGGAAGGCCAGTCGCCAATCCAGGACCCGAGGATCCTGGCCGTCACCAAGAGCTCTCCAGTCCCGGCGCACGGCATCGGCAGGGCTTCTGTGGTCGGCCTGGCAGGCCCTGGCGCAGGGTCGAGCCCCTCGTCTGAAGGAGGAGGAGGAGGCAGCAGTGAAGAGGTCCGCGAGGTACGAGGTGCCCTGGAGCCCAGGCCCCAGCTGGACTCTGCCAACCAGCTGAGCCAATACCGCGAGAAGCTCGCCAGGGAAATGCAACAGCAGGGGCTCGGCGCAAAGTCCGCCTCGTCTCCTCCGACCCAGCACCATACCAAGAGGGTGTCACCCATCCTCGAGGAGTCCGCTGCGAGCTCGCCCAGCCAGATGTCCTCTGGGCCGTCGACCGCCTCAACCGACGCCTCGACAGAATCTGGCCAGACCATTCGCGGCGGCGTCACCCCCGGCTTCCTCCCGCGGACGACTTCCTATCCGTTTCCTCGCGTGACAACGCCTGGCTACGGCCCGTCCGCCCTGCACAGGCCCTTTACAACACTGTCGCCGACCGGCTCCGCACCCGACTCGCCCGCCTCATCTGCTGCGGGCACGGCGACTTATGGGAACTCCCGGGCCCAGGACCGAGTCATGTCCAACCCCTCCACCCCAGCGTCGGCTTTGGCCTTCCAACCTGCTGGTTCATCATCGCAGGCACCACAGCCAGGGGGAATCTCGGACTTTCCTACTCCGAACCTCTATGACTTGTCATTGATGCTGAGCTCTGAACCGGGTCTCGATGCCTGGTGGCGGACCGTCGTTAATATCATGACTGCCTTCTATAAGGCGGAAAGACTGACCCTCGCCATTCCTGCCGACTCGACAGATCTAGAGAACATCCCGTGGGGCCAAAAGGCGACTTACAACGCGCGCCAGGAGGACGGTCTCAGCATGGAGTACATGGCAGTGGGCACCAGCACGATGCCCAGCAGTATTGACGATTTCTCAGGGCCACCGTCCTCGACGATAGGCCGCGACCCGGTCAGGCTGCAGGCTCCACTGCGCCCCCAGCTGCCTATGCGACACTCTTACGGGGCTTTCGAGGACGAGAAGCACAAGAAGGTGACAGCAACAAGGATGTCAGCTATCCCAAAGAGACCCGGTGTGTTTCCGCGGAGCAAGAGTTTCTTTCCCGGATCCACGCAGGCCGAGCGCGCCGCCCAGGAGGACACGCTGCACATGGGACTCAATCAGCAGGCACTGGCAGAACACGATGCCGAGGAACAACAAGAGGATGTTCAGGACTGGCAGATACCTGCACCAGAGCGCGGAAGCCAGGGGCGGATGTTTGAGCTGCTCCAGGCCCTGGACTACGAAGCCGATCCCCTCATCGACCACCATGGCGTGACAAAGGTGCTGGAGCGTGGACGTGTGATCGCACTGACTCGCAGCTACCCATATTTCGAGGAGAACGCACCGACCAGACCCTCAGAAGGGAAAGTCGCAGGTCGGAGCTACTCGCCAGAAGGCCAGAAAAAGAAAGGGAGGAAGATGCGTCCAGATTCCTCCGCCAAGCTCTCCACCATCCTCAGCTCTGCCCAATCCATGAAGATGCTATCCCACGAGCGCAGGACCGGCCAGCAGAACATCGACCAGATGATCTCCGAAGGAGAACCACGCCGGCCTCCGACACCCACCTATGAAGAGTACGAGCAGACCCCACCCTCGCCTTGGTCACAATCACCCGCCCCGTCTCCGGCCATCCGAGCCGAGGCGAAGGAGAACCCCTTTTTCGCCGAGGCCGTGGTGGACGAGTCGTCATTCGATCCTACTACGACAACACCTGACTACTCGTCAATAGGACCACAGGAGGCAATCGGGGTGGACAACGCGTGGACTGTGCTGCATGTCCCGCTGAGGCACCCACTCCTCTCCAAGGCCTCGAGTGGTTTCAAGCTCGACCCCAAGTTTATGGAGCAGAAGTCGTCCCTCCGGGGAAGAGAGAGCGCGGCGGACAGCGGTGCGAATCTCGAACGAGAGTCCTTGCGAGAGGAGAAGCCAACCCCCATTGCCATCTTGTCCATCCTCAGCTCCACCATCCCGTATCCGTCCAATCTTAGATACTCCCTCGAGCACCTAGCGCCGCATCTTGCGACATCTTTTTCGCTTTGCCGTCACTACAGCACCCTCGAATCCGAGGTCACCAGGATGCACCGCAGGAAATCACGTATTGCTGGGTTTGGCGCCGTGGACCCCGACGGGCGACCCATGACGGACCCGGCAATTCTTAGTTACGCTTCTGAAGAGATGGCAGCCGCATCGCTGACCGGTAGCATCACCAGTCCCAGCGAATATTCTATGCAATCAAGAAGCGCGGCGGGCACGCCGGGTGGGACACCGGGCTGGGAGGGCACTGTCTTTGGAGCCCTCGCGGACAAACGCTCTGCAGTGTCTAACACTACTGCGGCCGCCGCGGCTGCTTCTGCCCCTGCCGCTGGTGATAGCTACTTCACGACGAAAATGAAGGCTTCGGGTAAGACGGAGACCTCAGCTGTGCAGCAGCGAACTCGGAGAGGTTCCAAGGAGAGCCCGACATCAGAGAAGCGGTCCTCCCTTCGGCTCAATGAGATGCTTGATCCTGGTCGCTTCAGCCCTGACCCTGTCGAGCCGGACACACCCGAGGAAGTGTCTGGGAAGGCACCCGAGGATCAAGCCTCAACCAGTGTCCCGAAAAAGCACGCAAGCAGAGAGTCTCCGACGGACCAAAAGGAGGACCGGCTTGCCGAGACGAAGAGCTGGTCCGTCAGGGCAGAGCCCCACCATCGACACAAGAAGCTTCACTCCCATGGGGGAGACTTTGCGACGACTTTTCAGTCGCTGCCGCCGGGTTCCAATATCCCTGTGAAGGGTTCCCCCTCGTCGAGAGGCGAGTCCTCGCTCACGCACCCACCAGAGATGGCTTGGCCGACAGACAGATTAAAGGACCTGATCCTCGACTCGCTGCCGGCACAACTCTTCGTTGCGACTGTCCCAGCTGGCGGTATCGTCTGGGTCAATAGTCGGTATATTGCCTATCGTGGCCAGACGCTGGCTGAGCTTTATGCGGACCCCCACGCCAGCATCCACCCTGACGATCGGGAGGCATACTTGAGTGTCTGGGGGCGTGCCATCAGGGCGGGCGAGGACTTCCAGATGACGGTGCGCATTCGCCGCTTTGATGGGGCCTACCGATGCTTCTCCGCGAGGGTGGTTGCGTGCCGGAACAGGCGCAATGTGAGTAGTCCCCCCCACCCCTTCCTTTTTTCTTTCTTTCTCCTCTCCGCCCATAGTACATCTCTGACGCCGTGCAGGAAATCGTGTACTATCTTGGGAGTTATACGGACATTCACGAGCAGACTATGGCCGAGCTCAAGGTTGTACGGCAGCAGGAGATTGAAGCTTCCGAAGCGAAACACCGACTGCTCGCAAATTTGATCCCTCAGATTATCTTCACGGCAACGGAGGACGAAGGTATCACATTCTCAAACGAGCAGTGGCTGTCCTACACGGGGCAAATCGAAGAAGATGCTCTTGGTCTGGGTTTCATGGACTATGTGCATCCTGATGATCTCGCGAGATGTCAGATCCCGCCTTCTCCAAACGTGCTGTCATCGCCTTCTGGGAAAGTCTTCAAGGAAGGCAACAAGACACCTGCTCAGCAGAACAGCTCAAACAAAAGCCGACAAAGTGCGCTCTCACGAAATAACAGCTCCAGCAGTGAGTCGACGTATGGTCTGCCAGCTGCGAATCTGACCGAGTTGGCCAGGTCAGGTGTTGTCAAGGTCGGAAGGGACAGCAGCGGCCGGCTGACTTACGCCACCGAGATTCGGCTTCGGTCCCGAACTGGGGAATACCGGTGGCATCTTGTGCGCTGCGTCGAGATTGAAAACACAGGCCTTGGGAACGGAATGAGTTCCTACTTCGGCTCTGCGACGGACATTAATGATCACAAATTGCTTGAAGCCAAGCTGAAGGAGGCGATGGAGTCCAAGAGCCGCTTCCTGAGCAACATGAGCCATGAGATTCGGACGCCACTGATTGGTATCTCGGGCATGGTTAGCTTCCTGCAGGACACCACGCTCAATGATGAGCAGCGAGACTACACAAACACCATCCAGACGAGCGCCAACAGCCTGCTCATGATCATCAATGACATCCTAGACCTCTCCAAGGTCGATGCTGGCATGATGAAACTCAACCACGAGTGGTTCCACACACGTGCCCTGATCGAGGACGTGAACGAACTAGTATCTGCCATGGCCATCGCCAGGAGACTCGAGCTGAACTACATTGTCGAAGAGGACGTGCCAAGCTATGTCAAGGGTGACAGAGTCAGGATCCGGCAAGTCCTCCTCAACGTGATCGGCAACGCCATCAAGTTTACCGAGAAGGGAGAGGTCTTCAGCCGCTGCATGGTTAAGACAGGTGCGCCTGGGCTGGACGAGAATCAAGTCATGCTCGAGTTTTCCGTCATCGACACTGGAAGAGGGTTCACTGAAGAGGAGAGGAAACTCATATTTAAACCGTTCAGCCAGATCGACGGTAGCAGCACGCGAGCCCATGGCGGCAGCGGCCTGGGTCTGGTAATCTCGCGACAGCTCGTGGAGCTGCATGGCGGAATGATGGAAGGCACAGCAGTACCAGGACATGGTGCAACCTTCACCTTCACGGCCAAATTTGGCCTGCCGACCGCCGACGATCATCCCGACGCACTGTTCAATCCTCCAGCCGTCGCGACGCCTGCCACCATCGAAGAGATCCCCACGCAGCCATTCAGGCAGTTTTCCATCAGGCCCCGAGTTGCCACCGCCTCCGCCACGACTGCAAGTCCGACCACTGCTGGACAGAACTCTCCAGCGGTCGTCTCCAGCGGAAGCTCCAACCCATCGACTACCTCGACCGGGACACGTCTCAGCGACAGGTCATCCTTTTCATCTGTACACACCGGTTTAGCGCGGTTCAGCGAGGCTGCGAGGGCTAGTGGTCAAGACTTGTCACAGATGAAGCTGGAGATGCCTCCAGGGCGGAACTCGCCGGGTCAGACGCTGACGCCCGAGCAAAAGGAGCAGGTCGCGGATGCCAGTGGCCTGCGTCCACCCTTGTTCTCGATCCTGATCATCTGCCCCCAGAAGTACAGCCGCGAAGCCACGACACGTCACATCGAAATGACCCTACCCAAGGACGTACCCCACCAGATCACGGCGCTGAGCAGCGCCCAAGAAGCAGAGGCTCTGATCGGCGGAGAAGATCCTGTCATATTCACCCACATCATCATCAGCCTTTCGTCGATCGAGGATATTGTTCAGCTCTTGGAAGACATCCATCAGTCGACCATTACCAACAAGACATCTGTGGTTCTCTTGTCTGACTCGATTCAGCGGCAGGATCTGACCAAAGTTGTGGCTGGTACCAAGCAGGAACACCTGATCTTCGACAACAGACTGTCTTACGTGTACAAGCCCGTCAAGCCCTCTCGTCTGGCTGTCATATTCGACCCTGGTAACGAGGGGGACGCCAGCGTCGACCGGAACCGGTCCACTGCTCAGCAGCTGGTGGAAGATCAGAAGAAGAGTTACCAGGAGGTCGAGAAGCGCATGGGCAACAAGGGCTACAAGGTTCTCCTTGTGGAGGACAATCCAGTCAACCAAAAGGTCCTCAACAAATATCTAGGCAAGGTAGGCGTGGCGGTTGATCTGGCCATGGACGGGGAAGAGTGTACCGACAAGGTCTTCTCACGCCCACACGGATTCTACTCGCTAATTCTGGTACGCCTGACGAATGGTTTCTCCCTCTCTCTCTCTTTTATTCTTCTTCTTTTCTCCTTCCTCCGTACTTGGACAGCCCTGGATAAGCTGACATCTGTGCTCAGTGTGACCTTCATATGCCTCGCAAAGATGGCTACCAGGCCTGCCGAGAAATTCGTAACTGGGAGAGGAAGAACAAGTACAGAAACATGCCCATCATCGCACTTTCGGCCAACGTCATGTCCGACGTCCAGGAGAAATGCATTGAGGCAGGCTTCAACGACTACGTCACAAAACCCGTCGATTTCATCAACTTGTCCACAGCATTATCTAAGTTCTTCTGAGGAATCTTGCCAGACCTCTGTTTTTCTCGCCTTTCGATATCGACAAGATTAAGCGACAACAACAACGTCAAGCACCTCGCTGCATAGCGCCGGCGTTCCATCCATGCCTTATGCATACACGATTCAATGATATCCTCTTTATTTTATTTTTTTACATTTCGATTTGTACAATACTTGGGTCATCGTTATCCCCTATCTATCTTCACTACTACACATACACACGCAACTGTTTATATGTCGAGCCTCACCCTGCCTCACTTCTGCAACTTGCCGGGCGGGGGCTGTGTGTCTGTTGAAGCTTCTAGGCTTTCGCTAGTAAGAGAACTCGGGAGGATTGGAGGGACTCAGGCAAGAGAGAGGAGAGAGCACTTTGGACCCCCGGGGGGTGGCCGTGCTTGCCCTCTTCTGCTTAGGTTTTATGGGTTCATGGGGAAAAGGAGGAGCGGTCATCGGAGACGGCCAAACCGTGGCCGTCGCATTACTTCCACACACACGCACTGCAAAAACGATATACCAATGCAGACCACTGACTAGGGCAGCTGCACATACAAGGAGGCGAACGGGGGATTCAGAACGTCTGGCTCAGATTATGAGCATCTGGTCAATTTGGGCTTCTTAGTAAGACGAAGAAAGGTTCATATTTTCTGTTCAAGATGGGTTCAGCACACATTCAAGACAGCCAAACCACTATTTATCTCTCCTGCTGTTGCGAGTCATTTTTACTCAGGCGTTCAGGAAGATCGGGCAGGAGATGAAGGGTTCAGGGGTAATAGCATCTGGGCCTGCTGGGCAACACTTTTGTTGGTGGGCTCGGAGGAAAGAGCCCGCTCTCTGCCTTTTTCTAACTTCTTCTTTCTCCCTCTGGGGCATGTTGCATTTTAACTTCTTCGAAGAAAGTCTAATATACCACAAGTGAGTACTATGGAAGATGGTAATAAGGAAGAACAGAAATCTAGGGGGGGGGGGGGGTAAGCAAGCTTCAGATTAGAGAGATACAGAGACGAGACTGGGGAAGGGTTGGGAGAGGTAGAGTGGATGGAGGGGATTCAGTGTGTGTATAGTGCGCCGCCGAAAACGGTGTGCCTGAGAAGGGCATCTTGAATATAGTACGAGGGGATTCGTTCCTCGCAGAAGCACTACTACTGTACTACTCCTGGTTGCAGGTGACCGTTCCAATAATCTTTGCATGTAGGTTTTCTTTGGAACCACTCGTCGATCAACCCAGCAACAGAACAATGTATACAACGTAGTCCATATTACTGTTCTGCTCGAACACAGGAAATACTATAACAACTCGCAGTACTTTGATGACCGGACACCCAGGTCGTATAGTCAAAACGATAGAACAATGTCTCTCCCCCGTCTTGGTTGTCTGTCCTTTCCTTTCCACTCGTTCCTCTCTTCTGCTCTCTTTTCTTGCTTTTCCCCCTCCCTCCTCCTCCTCCTCCTCCTCCTCCTCCTCCTCCTCCTCCTTGGCACTCCCTTACTCACTCTTCTCTCTGCCGGCCAACATTCAGCCCAAGCTTCCGCAGGTGCAGCCGAGGATACACGCCAACCACAACCAAGACCACGCCGATAATGACAGTCCAAAGCCTCACGCCAAGCACATTGACATTAAAATCCGTATACACGGCACTCAGCACCGTAGCCAGGAGCAGCAACAAGAATAAGTACCCGCTCAGCCGGTGATACTTCCACACCTTGCCGGCCCTCTCGCGGCCGCCCAGGAGACTGGGAACAGCCCACATGACCAGCCCGACCAGAGACTGCAGGGCCAGCACGACACCCGAGGCCACGCCCAGGTAGCCGTGGACACTGTGGAAATGGCTGTCGGGCCCCTGGCGGATCTTGTTGGCCTCGATGATGGCGATGCCGGCGACGAGGGTGGCGAAGGTGAGGCCGTTGAGGATGGCGTGGATGCGGGCGCCGGTCTGTTTGGCTGGGGCGGAGAAGGTGGGCTGGAGGATGAGGACGGCTTCGATGGCGAGGAGGAGGCCGAGGGATTGGAGGAGGGGGTGGGGGGAGAAGAGGGGGATGAAGGGGGGGTTGGCCAGGACGGCGGACCAGATTAGGAGGAGGAGGAGGAGGGCTCCTGCTTGGGCGAGCCAGGCGGTTCCTTTTTTTGAGAGAGAGAGAGAGAGATCAGTTATTAGTATGGACTTTTGATTTGGATGGAAGGGCGGAATGGATGGGTGGATAGATGGATAGAATAATGGTGATTTGTGATTGTGAGATTTCTCTCTATCTCTCTCTCTTTTCCTCTCTCAATTCAATCTCTTGGTGTATCTCAAGGGTTTAGTTTTGGTGTAGTTTTGTCAAGGCATTCATATGCAATCACTCCGTCATATGAAACTCACCACTAATCAGATTATGAAATATCGACTCGCCAGGCCTCTGCATGACGTCGCCAGGTTCACCAAGGAGAGGTTGTGACTCTCCTCTCCCATCATCGTCTGCTGCAGCCTCGGAACGGCGCTCCGGTATTCCTGTCGTCGAGGCCATCCTTTCCGTTCTTCCTTTATACGTTGGGGGGGGGGGGGTTTTCTGGGAAGAAAAGAGCTTGCCTGACTAAAAAGTGCCTTGAGGAGAGTGTGGGGTTTCAAACACCAGCGCCGTCTCCAAAGTAGTGGTTTAGAAAGACAGAAAAAGCACCAAGAGCTGTCCGGATCCTGTGCTAGCGATGAAGATCACAGTCGGTTTATTTGAGAAAAACCGGAATTGGAATGATGCGAGGATGCGAAGAGGAAAGAGAAAATGAATCACTGGCTGAAGGGCTCACAAGGCTTCCCCTCCTTTTTCTATGATGCAAAAGGAAGGAAGGAAGGAAATAAACGATGCAGCTGACGTTTTTAACCCCGCGCCGCACGCCACTCACGCGCCGATGATGTTGATGATTTGTGAATCGCGATTGATTGATGCGTTGAGAAAGAGACAGAGGGGTGTCAATCTCCCGGGGGTTCAGGTCTTGAGAGAACGGAAACCAAGCGCTGCACCAGCTATATAAAGTAACCTTCCAGCGTCCAGCCTTCTAATTTTTAATTTTTAATTTTTCTCTCTCTCTATCTGGCCCTTCCCTGTCTGTAGCCTTCCCCCCCCCCCCTCCTCCCCCGGCAATCAGTCCGACACAACGTAGCACAGTGACACCAAAGACCAGGGGGGAGGGCGGAGAGGAAAGGCAGGAAGGGCAAGGCAAATCGGCACATGTCATGCATCCGTCACGCAATCACATTTGGGAAAATATACCGAAAGAAAAAGAAGAATAATAAAATAAGAGTCGATGGATGTATACGATGAGGATGAGCAGGAGCAAAACAACAAGGTAACTTAATATGTATGTATGGGAGGGGCAGATCCCCCCGCGCGCTGACGTCCTCCACCAAGGCCTTGTTGATTTGGGCCTATGAGAGACGTTCCATTTGATTTGGAGGGGCCCTGACGGCTACTGCTAGTACTATGATACGTGAGTACAGTACAGTGTACCATGGAACCATAGTAGCGGTATGTACCACGGTACCGAAGCTACACCTTTGCTGCAGGCGCCACTCACCTGCTCTCTCGTTTTTTCTTTGATCTGGTGGGGGTGGACTTGGTTAGTGGATGGTGAGGGGAAAGGGAGGGGTGAGTTGATTGGGTCAGAAATGGTGTCACCCCTCAAATACATAAAGGGAGGAAGTTGAGTGGTCGAGTGGAGGGTTGGTTGCTTTCTTGATTGACTGATTGATTGTGTTGCATCAGCTTTACCAAGTGGTGGTTCTGCTTCTGTGCAACGTGAAGAGTACTTGGGGAAATGCCGCTATCGTGTCATGTTACACAAAGTTCTTGTCATCCTTGAATGTTTTCTGGCTCCCTTTCCTTCAACACAATGCCTCACTCATTATCCCAGAGGATGCACGATCAAAGAGGTTATCAAGAGAGAAGGAAAATAGTGGGTCCCTCTCTCCTCCCTCCTCTCAATCAGTCATGGGCCAAAAGCACACCAACCATCCCCCGGCGCGCTTTCGGCCGCCTCCGAGCGCTCAGAGGTCCGGACCCGGAACTAGATACCTCTATCATTACTCGATTGACACTTGTCATTGGACGACGACGTTTATCGCCTTATTTTTCTCTGGAGCCTCTCTTCCTCTCTCTTCTCCCGAGGTCACTCACTCACCGATGAATGTCTTTCCTTCTTTTACTGCGACCTTTCTTCTGATGGCCAGGGCGATAATCAACTGGTGATCTTGCATAGTATACTTGTATTGTTGTCCTCTCTCTCTCTCTCTCTCTCTCTCTCTTCCTCACTCACATATACACACGCATAGACAGACAGCCACTTTCTCCCTCCTATCTCTTACTCCTTCAGTGTAACAAGCAACATATACAACTCGTAATCCAAGAAGAGCTTCAAAAATGGCGGATGAGATCGAGTACAAGCTACAAGATGTCCTCTCGACAGCAGTAGCCTCTGAGGACATCGACAAGACCTTTCGGTCAAGCTGCATAGGTGTGTAAACGAAGAGACCAAGAAGACGATGATGACAAGGAAGCCCATATGAGAGAGACCGGGCCATGTCCATGCTCCACAGCACACACACACACACACACACACACGCTTGATGTGCTCTTCCGCTGACAATCACACCTACCACTACCACTACCACCTCCACAGACCTCATCTCCGCCGCCCTGGGAGGAAAAGTCCTGGGATTCTCAGACGAGTGGTTCGCCGAGGCCGCCAACCTCCTGACCCCGACACCTCCGATCCGCCAGCCCGGCAAGATGGTCTTCACAGGCGCCTGGTACGACGGCTGGGAGACCCGCCGCCACAACCAGGCCCCCTTTGACTGGGTCGTCATCCGCCTGGGCGTCGCATCAGGGACCGTGTCGGGCGTTGAGGTCGACACCGCCTTCTTCAGCGGCAACCACGCACCTCACATCTCAGTCGAGGGGTGCTTCCGGCCCGACCCCGCCGACGACGACGAGGTCCTCTCGTGGGGCGGCGACAGGGGCAGCTGGGAGACCATCCTCGGCATCAGGGAGTGCGGGCCCTCGCAGCGCTTCGCCTGGAGGCTGGACAACCCTTCCGACAAGAGGTACACCCACGTGCGCCTCAACATGTACCCCGACGGCGGCATCGCCCGCTTCAGGCTCTTTGGCCACGCCGTGCCCGTCTTCCCCGAGGATCCCGATGCCGTCTTCGACCTCGCCGCCGCCCAGAACGGTGGTGTCGCTGTCTCCTGCAGCGACCAGCACTTTGGCACCAAGGACAACCTGCTGCTGCCAGGCAGGGGAAAAGACATGGGCGACGGCTGGGAGACGGCGCGCTCGCGCCAAAAGGGCCACGTCGACTGGGCCATCGTCCGGCTCGGGGCCCCGGGCCTCGTGCAGCGTTTTATCGTCGACACGGCCCACTTCAGGGGGAATTTCCCCCAAAAGGTCAGGCTGGATGCCATCGGCTGGGACGGCGAGGGCGAGCCGCCTGCCGACGCACCCGCCTGGGAGCAGGTTGTCGAAGCAAGCAAGACAGGCCCCGATCAGGAGCACGAGTTCGCTTCGGCTGTGCAGGACAGGCCCTTCACCCATGTCAAGCTGACCATGATACCTGATGGGGGCGTCAAGAGACTGCGTGTTTTTGCGAAGCGGGCCGTCTAGCCACCCCACCACCACCATCACTTGGGGAGGCTGGGAGGTTGCCACTGGGGAAGGAGGGGGTCCCAAATTAGAGCAAAAAGAAATATTTGTTTTCTCCCTCTCACTCTTACTCTCTCCTCTCTTTTGTTATCCTCTCTTCCCTCATTCCTCTCGTTTCTTTTTCTTCTTCTTTTCCTTTTTGATACTCGACCCCACCCCAGGTGGGTCGCTTTGTGAGCCGAGTTTGATGTTGCTTTTTACCCTACGGGTCTCTTGTATCTGTGCACGCTGATGTTCAGCCCCCTTCTTCGCCAGCCCGCACTCGCCGCATTATCAGTGCTTTTCAGCGCCGCAGCGACTTTCATTTTCCTGACCGCCAAACACAATTTTCGTGCTGGGGTCCAAGCACGCAGTCCACATTGTCATCACCTCGTGAAAGGCCGTTTCACTTGGGCCTCAAACGGTCCACTTGTAATTATTTTTCTTGTTCGAGCCGCGTCCGGTTGCTGGGCCAAGCCTCTGGGCCGTCCCGTCACAGTATCTGCCCAGTCCGCCAGACCAAGCAGCAACATTTGCCGGTTAGACATTATAGGAAGAAGAAACAATTGACGTACACGCATGGGTGGCTATACCACCCCGTCGCAGATCGTGACCTTCCAAGACACAGGTTCAGGTCGTCCATCATCCACTGATAGGCTCGGCGTCAGCGACAGACCGCCAGAGAGCAGATAAGATTTTCTTGGCTCTAATCTATTCGTCGCGGTGGCTCATACTGCTGTGCTCATCTCACTTGACATATCTGCCGATGGTCATGGTCTTATGATGGAGGGAGTGCACAAAAGGGTGTGCATCGCTAGCGAGGCCGGCGAGGCGGCCGCATCATGCCTAGAGATTCACGAAAACATGAGGACGAGCAGCTTTCTTGACATGTCAAGTGCCGTTCTCTGACACACAGTCGTGATACTAGAGCAACCTTCACCGAGGTACGGTAGTCGTACGAAGCGCGGATATACCACATCCACTCCTCTCCTTCCCTCCCAGGTCGCGGCCCCCGCGTCTAGGAGTAGCAGAACGGGGGCGGGATCGTGGAGGGACAAGCGCAATCTCGGCTCTCGTTGCTGAAACTGAGGGAAAGCACTGGCTGGTAGAGCGGTCAGTGATCACGCTGTGCGGCTGCTGTCAATATCGGCGGCGCTCGCCATTCGAGGGCATCTGCCGCGCGAGGGCAGCAGAAGCAAAGAAGTGCGCGCCACCCCCGAGAGGGGAGGGGGGTTCCAGGGCCCCTCAAGCAGCGCAGATGGTCTTATAGGTGGAAAGCCTGAGTGTGGTTTTGAATAGTTAATCCTGGCCGAGACCTGCAGTGGCCATGCTCCGAGACATATGGCCGTCACTGCGAGGCTTAGGGTAACAGTATAGTACTTGTAAAGGCACAGTCGAAGGAGTAGCTCCCAAAAAGACCTGCCCGTATGGTGATAGCCCTGAAAAGAAGATCCAACATCGGGGCATCTTAGGCCTAACTTGATAATCTTTTCTCTTCAAAGGTACATGAGGCGAGATGAGTGTCCAACACGGCCACCCTGATATTGTTTGTGGCTGGCTGACTGACCCAAAAGGGTCATAGAGCCTTTCCATGTTCCTGCACTCTCGGTGCGGACGAAAGAGATGTAGAAGGTTTTCCGGGCTTGTCGGGGTAGGCTCCAAGCCAGAACCTGGAATGATTAGACAAGACGTTCCTGTGGTTGGCTGAAAAATGACAGTGACAAAGTCTGTGGCAAAAAAGTCCCCGACAATCGATCGCCACTGCACGTACGACATCACAAGACCCGGTCAAGAGCCAGATCTAGGCTTGAGATCTGAGCACCGACGCTCTCTGAGAATCTGACGCGCAAATATCATTGCACATCAACGTCAGCAGTAGCATCTCTCGAACGCGAAGAAGCGTCGTTGCACCACTAATTTCGACGTAGTACTCTGCAAAGCACAAGCGACTGCAGAAGCCTTCAAAGTCAACAATCTGGATCTCCGTGGAGCCGACACACAAGGATTGGGGAAGGAGAGAGAGAGAGAGGGGGTTTCATTCAACAGATTTTACTGTTTTCACTCACGTCACCAAGCAGCCACAAACCCCCTCCCCTCCTCTTTCCATCCCCGCCCCCTCTCATCCGAAGGCGGCGTCGATGCAAAGCCTCTAGCGAAGGCTCCAGACTGGTGTGCAACCACAAGGCAGCCCGATTAGGCCACATTGGCTTCCGCGCCGTGTCTCGACCCCGGAAGTATATGAGCGCACCCCGGCATTAATATGTTAATGTCCGCAACCAGAGTCTTGAAATGTGAGGTTACTGATCTGCACCCGTCACTCCTTCTTCTCTCCGTTGTGGAACCGTTTCACGGCAGCCGCTGGGGTCTCGGTCGTGGCGCCGATGGAACAATCCCAAAGTATGGACTTGGCGTGCGTGCCCGCTCATTTTCGTGGTTACTAGTAGCCTTACCCTGACACCAACTGCAGCTGTCCTAGCCTCTCTGTCGCTCTGTGTGTGTCTCTCTCTCACACACACACACCCTATCTGTAGTTGCAGGAGTTGAACTTGTCCAGGATTCTCGGTGCTGACATCTTATATGGTGTCGGTCAACCCGTCGAGCTTGATTTCAACAAAGTGTGTGCACGTACTCGTGTTTGTGTTTGTTTGTTGTTAGTGTCGAGGTAGTCTCATAAAGCCACTCAGAGATGCCGCCTAGGAACCGCGCCTAATGCTGATCCAATGCAGAGCTTCTGCACGTAAGCACAATACTTGGGCCATCGACGCGCCACCGGCCGAGTCACGGACGCATTTACATCAACTCCGCCCGTCGATGAGCGCCTGGCATTATCCACAAACGACCCGGAAGATGGTCGGTAGTCTGCTGGCACAGCAACAAGCCCGACCTCCCCCCTCCCCCCTCAAAGCGGACAAAGCTGCAGTATGCTCGCTTAGCGAACCTTCACAATTAAACTCATGGAACAGAGTATATGCTCTGGCAGGCGTAGCGCGCCAGATGCGGGTAAGATTGTGTAGATTTTGGAGCGCTCATGTTGTACAGCTCCCTCGCACGACGTAGCGAGCCGAACCCTCATGGGATGAACAAAAGTCATCATCCGACAGACACTGGTCAGTACCCGAGGAGGCCGGTGAGGCCCCTTTTTTTTCTCTTCTTCTTCGGAACTCCGGTGGATGCAGCTCGTGCCGTTCGCGATACTGTCCTGCACTGCAAGTTATAGGAGGGGCGCGGACTGATCCTGTGGCTTGCATGCCTTGAGAGGAGGTGGCGTACGCAGCAGTACGGCTTATTGGTACTTTTTTGCAAGACAGCGCATGCATATGATGTAGAAGTCGAATCACCCACGCTGATCCCTCGGGACACTGACCCCACCAATCCGCAAAGACCCCAGTCGAGACTCAAGGCCAGTGGAGCCTATATCAAGTGTTGAGTAACTGGTTTTATCAAGCATATTTTCGTCGGCCATTGCCTAGGCTGGTTGCGCAACCACCACTGATCAGCTCCTGAAATGGTCCCAACAAACAAGAACGCAACCGCCCCCCTGCTGTTATGGAAAACCCCCAACGTGCCACCGACCACGAGCCTTTTCATGCTCATGGAGGGTCGCGAGTATACTGCAGGACCTTAGCGAGGGAAAAATCGAGCCGCCGCTTCATGTCTGATTACCGCTAATTGCAGCTATGGCTTCCAAAAGCGGAGTTCGTTCTGGCCCGCGGACCAGTCAGTCGGATGAATGGGACGGATGATTGACCGATTTCAGCACCGAGCAGACGCAGGAAGCCAGGAAGAAGGTGGGAGAAAACAACAGGAGATCCAATATGAAGAAGGCAGCTAAATCAATATGATGTGAGCAAGCACTCATGCGGGTTTGATTAGCCAGGGTCATGGCTGTCATACAATGCCTTCACACCCAATTTGTCCCAAGCGCGAATGAGATTCGAACCCGGTATATCGGGCCTCGACGTTCTGAATGTGCCAGCTATCCTCAATCTGGCCTTCCTGGAATAGCATGACCCGTCGAACGTCAGTCCTGGCATAGCAGGATGTGAGAAGTGTTCCTGGGGCCAAAATCACATGCCAAAATCCTGCGTACTGGAGAGAGGCCGGACTTCGTTCCCTTTCACAAGCTTTCCGATGACCACGCCCCCCAGTAAAACCGCTATTTCTCGGTGACCTGGGATGGAGCTGAACAGAGCCGCGCCGTGCTGCCGAGGAGATGTAAGTCGGCCCACAGAGGGGACCAAAGCACAAAAGGCTGTTGGACCAGTCGCAGATTGAATAATCGGGAAGGCTGAGATTTCGGGCAGGAACTGGGAGATTGAGCAGACTACTCATGAACACAATGGGATCCATCGCTGATGAGATCTCAGGGATGGAGATGCGGGTCTTTTTGCAGGGTAGCATCGAGAGAAATGGCACCTTGTTTCAGATTGATCCCCGGGTCTGTTTAGTCATCGGCAGACCAGGGCTCTCGTCCTCTCGATGGCTTGATGGCAGTCCTGGAGAGGAAGTAAAGGAGGACCAGAGTCGTTCAGGGTGGGACCCAGACGAGTGGGGAGGCGGGGCCGAGCAGCCACATCACCTAATCTGCTGCTCTGGTCGAAAGCCCGAATGCCCCGGGGTAGGCCTTGCCAAGCAGGCCATGAGGAGGGGCTGGCGCAAAGGTTTGGTGGCTGACAGCTCGGTCTCGCTGTGGTCCCGGCAAGACGTCAGCGTTCACCGCTTGGCTGTCCCAATAGGCAATCTGCCTTGAGCTTTTTAATCTTCCAACCACACCACACCACAAGCTACTAGCCACCACTCCGTACTCGCTGCGGCAACAAGGGGGAATGGGGATGGGAAGGGAGAGGGGGCTGGCTCAGTCCCAGCCCCAGTTCCCATCCCATCTCATCCCATACCTATCTTGCTACCCTCGGTCAACCTTTCTTCCCCTCTTGTCGCGTGTGCATGCCCTGTACGATGAGCAGTGACGCACCACCCTTCGGCTGTGGATCGTCAGATCGGGGCTGTCATAGACAAGCAGTAACATCCGACGAGCCTGATTGCGAGGGTGACTTGCAGCAAAGTGTGGGGACAAGGCGCAGATTT